GTTTTTGTACAGAGAGGAAGGAAGAGAGATAGAGTTAGAAACATTGATGAGAGAGAGTCATCGATCAGCTGCCTCTTGCACACCCCCTACTGGGGATGTGCCCGCAACCAAGGTACATGCCCTTGACCAGAATCGAACCCTGGACCTTTCAGTCCCCAAGCCGACGCTCCATCCATTGAACCAAGCCGGTCCCGGCTCTCTTCCCTTTCTTTGGAATTCAAGAGCAGCCACGATGGGGAAAATGCTCATTCTGAAAGGAATCAGGTCATCCCTTCTGGAAAACGGAGATGGAAGCTGGCCCGCCCTCCTCTGGCCTCCAAGGCCCCCAAAGCCCCCAGCCTCAACTACAGCCAACTACCCACTCCACCGAGAAAGGGAAGCAGGTGGCTGGCTCCCAATCGCGCCAGTCCCGCCCCTGGGAAACTCGGCCGCGCCCTCGGGCGTGAACGCGCTGGGGAAAGCAGCCAGAAAGGGAGCCTGCGCCTTTTCTCCTCCTGGCGGACAACAGTGGAACAGCAGAGCTTAGGGAAGTAGTGAGTTGGGGGCGTCAAACCTTGAGGGCTGAGCTGGAGAGTTTCAACATTTGGGGGTACCTGACCTGATGTTGTGGCCCCTTCCTTCTTTCCCAAAAATTCATCTCCAGTTAAAAACATGGAAAAAGGCAAGGTTTGGGGCTCAATCCCCAGGAGGGGGCGTGCAAGAGGCAGCCGATCAATGATTCTCTCTCATCATTGATGTTTCTATCTCTCTCTCCCTCTTCCTTCCTCTCTGAAATCAATAAATATATATATTTTTAAAAACACCTTGAGCTCCTACTGTGTGCTAGGCACTTTGCATGAAATCTTCAACAACAGCTTCACTGGGCTAATTGTCCTATTTACAGACAAGAATAATGAGGCCCTCAAAGAGGTGACTTACCCAGAGTGAATCTGTGACCAGGCTGGATGTGTGTGTGTGTGCCCCAAAGGTTGGCTGGAGCCTACCCTGCCGGGAATGGGGCCCCGGACTGGGAGAAAGGAGTGTCTCCTCTGGCTGAGGTAAAACACCCAGAACCATTCCATGGTCATTTCTAAAGAAGCTCAGCTTCTGAGGCATGAACACGTCAGGCTAGTCCATCTGTTGTGCAGGCAGGAGCCCAACCACAGCCCAGAACTAGAGCTTCCAAGGTGTCTGGAAACCAGTCCTCCAGGGTTGGGGGTGGAGGGAGCACAAGAAACTGGGAGAAGGGAGTTGAAGAGGGAATCTGGGGCATTGCCGGTTGGTGTCAGCTCCTGGGACTGTGGATTGTTCAGGAATGAGAGAAGCCGTTTTCATAACACCCATCTGGTCACCAGAACTTTAAATAAAGGGAGAGGGAAAGAGCAAGAAGCATCAATGATGAGAGAGAATCTTTGATTGGCTGTCTCCTGCACACCGCACACTGGGGACTGAGCCCACAACCCCAGCACGTGCCCTGACAGGAAATTGAACCATGACCTCCTGGTTCATAGGTCGACACTAAGTCACACCGGCCAGGCTGGTGACCAGAACTTTCCGAGACATATATCCAGATAGGGGTGGGAACTTGTATAATGAGGCAGCAGCTGCTGGCCTTTGACCTGCTGAGAGGTGTACACTCACCTCAGTGGGTAGCAGAGATGTCTAGGGGAGAGGCTGAGAGCTGTGAGGTTACATGGGCTACTGGAAGCCAGCCTCCTTGAGGAGTGTGCCCTACAACTACTGGTGAGGAGGCAGGACCCGGGACACTCAGACCGTGTGAAGGAATTCGATGGTGCAAGCAAGGGTTGTGGTGGGTCTTCGGGGACGGTAAGAACCTACACACATTCCACCTGAACCAAAATGTCATCAGGTAGCTGCTGACGTCAAATCTTTTAAAAAGAACAATTCCAAACCAATCCAAATTAGAAGCTAGGAATATAGGAAAGGTACAAAAGACTATTTAAAAAATCTTAGGAATCTCCAAATGTACTCAGATATAAAAACTCCAGGTGAAAGAAAAAAAAAGTCTAACGAAAGAGGCCTCCAGAGAGAAAAATTTTAAAAAGCAAATAGCATTTCAGAGGAAACCAAGGGTAAAACTGCAGACATGTTCAAATTGGGGGAGTGGGGGCGGGGGGTGGAGAAACACCCTGGCAGACAGATTGTTGGGGTGACTTCTGCTCCTGATTTCAGAAGTCCACAAATCGTTCTCACTCCTTCACAGGACAACTTTGGGAGAGATCAGAAACTAGAGGCAGACTTGTGAAATAACTGAGAAGACCTAACGTGAGGAGCAGGCAGCATGGTCTCCGGAGGAAAAGTGGTATCTGATGTCCTATAGGCATCAGAGAGAAGTCTGGGCTTCAGTCACCTTGGCTTCGGATGGAATCTTAACTTTTTTTTTTTTAATTTTTTAAAATATATTTTATTGATTTTTTACAGAGAGGAAGAGAGAGGGAAAGAGAGTTAGAAACATCAATGAGAGAGAAACATCAATCAGCTGCCTCTTGCACACCCCCTACTGGGGATGTGCCTGCAACTAAGGTACATGCCCTAGACCGGAATCGAACCTGGGACCTTTCAGTCCGCAGGCTGACGCTCTATCCACTGAACCAAACCAGTTTTCGGCGGAATCCTAACTTTGCCTTATGAACTGTGTGACCTTTGGGAATTCATGAATCTATTCAAACCTCAGTCTTCCTATCTGGAAACAAAGAGACCAACTTTATAGAGCTGTTCAAAGGAGGATACGTTAGTGTGCAGCACGGATAAGAGATAAGCAGGCACTTCTCTGAATAAAATCTAAACATCACATTTGTAAAGATTGATTTGGAAGTGAGAAATGGATAAAAATGTCAGATAACACATTTACCTAAGGGAACCCTTAGAGAAAAATAGCCAGCTACATTTCACATGAATGAGCTCTTTCCCATCAGAAGTCCCACAGTGCTGTCTGTGCCGCTCAGCTTGCTCTCATCCAGAGACCTTCCTCTTCCATCGTCTCTTGCTCACAGGTAGTCTCCCTGAGCAGATTATAACTAACTACTCAAATAAACACGGTCGCCAAACTACCCATTACAGCCCAGATCTTGAGTCACTGTCAACAAGTTCCTGAAGACCTGGCTTTAGTCAAAGGTGCCAAAATAAAGGTAGCCAGCGTTCGGGTACAGAAACTAAGTAAACCTAATCGCACCCTTGCCCAGAGCTGCGGTTTGGCTGCCACGGGGATAATGTCTGTGGCTTCGGCTGATTGCACCTCAAGACTGACATCAGGAAGCTGCGGAGAAGCAGCTCAATGTCCAAGTGGGTGGAAATGTTTTTGTGAGAACAGGGTGCAAAGTGGGGATTCTGGGGTTTGACAAGGTGAAGGCAGAGCAAGGCTGGAGTAACTGTAAAGACTGACAATATTACATTGCCCTGGGCATGTTCCTCCAAGTCAGAACAGGACAAGCAGCCAGCACCCCTGTTGAAAACAGGCCGAGGACAAAATGCTACTTGGAATGCTGCGTGGACCCTGCCCTCAGGCACGAAACAGAAGCAGGATGAAAATAGGAAGTGCCGTGGGCCTGACGGTCTCTGGTGAACACAGCCAAGATGAAAGGCTCTGGGGAAACGATGCTCCTCAGACCTTGCCAGTCGCTAAGTGATCAATGAAGCAGAGCCTCTCCCTGCCCTTCTGTCGCCTCTCGCCTGTCGGGAACAGCCGTCCAGGTCCGTCCAGGTCCTGACAGATCTGTCCTCCACCTCCCCTCTCATCCTCCCCCTCCTCTGTCCTAGACAATGAAGCTGTGTTGAGGGCAGAGATGGAGGCACGGGGTAAGCAAAAATGAAAGGGAAATAAAGGCAGGGAAGGGGGACAGGGATGGGGTAAGAGAACCACCGAAGAACTTGTATGCATGTAAGCATCACCAATGGACACAGACAATGGGGGCAGGGCAGGGCGGGGCAGGCTGGGAGAGGACAATGGGGAAGGGGGACATATGTAATACTTTCAACAATAATTTTTTTTAATGGGCAGTGCACGCTGAAGGGAAGGTGATGCTGGAAGTTCAGAAGCCAAGTGGACTTGTTCTTACTCGGGATCGGGTGGGACTGCATGGCATCACATCTACGTAAAACCCGGGGCCGCTCACTTAAGACCTGTGCCTCGCTGAAACCGGTTTGGCTCAGTGGATAGAGCGTCGGCCTGGGGACTGAAGGGCTCCAGGTTCGATTCCAGGCAAGGGCATGTACCTGGGTTGCGGGCACATCCCCGGTAGGGGGTGTGCAAGAGGCAGCTGATTGGTGTTTCTCTCTCATGGATGTTTCTAGCTCTCTATCCCTCTCCCTTCCTCTCTGTAAAATATCAATAAAATATATTTTTTTTAAATAAATAAATGGCAGCTCTTAAAAAAAAAAAAAAAAAAAAAAAAAAAAAAAAAAGACCTATCCCTCTTCCTTCTATGATCTACACCTCCACAAGACACCAAAACCAATGACCACCAGCCACGAGCTCCATTTGCTATTTTTTATTGAAGGGTCCCACGCCCTCATGGGACCCCAGCCAAACCAGAAACCAGACAGGGCCTCCATTTACAGCAGGAGGCCTAGAAGGGGAGGGGAATGACTTATGATCCCACCACGCCTCCCTGGAAACAAACCACCACAGACAGACAGACAAGGGCTGGGGAAGAGACCGTGCCTCACTCTAGGTTCTCTCCCCCTCACCCGGACTTGAAAAGAAAGTCAAACACTGGTTACACAGCACCCAGCCCCGCCCACCCGTAGCAGCGTTTGTGGGGCTCCCCTCTGCAAGGGGCGGCCCCCAGGCAGCTTCCCACGTCTTCCTCCACTTTGGTTGCTCCTGGCATCTCCGTGCCCTCTTCCTTCCTGCAGCCTCCGCCCGTCACCTGGTCATCTAGCACCTACTCGAACCTTCTCTCATCTCTGGCTTCCCTGCCCCAAGGCTCTGGGGAAGCAGCGTCTCAGGCATCTTCTCTCCTCCCACAGGGGCCACCAGCCCCTCTGCCCAGGACGTGGCCTCACACCGCCGCCCCGCTGTCCTTGAGGTCAGGGGCCGAGCGCTGCCGTCTCATTCGCGGGGGAGTAGTGTATGGGGGGTAGCGGGGCCCTGGGGGCCGTTGGGCCGGGTAGGGTTGGGGCTGCTGGGGATAATAGTTGTGCTTTTTAGGCTGGAAGTGCTGAGGTTCGGGCTGTGCAGCACCCCCTCCCCGGGACCGGCCCCCTCCATCCAGGGAATTCCTGCGGGGACGGTGGGACCTTCGGGGACTCGGCGGCCTGCGGGCAGGGGTGACCACTGGGGGAGTAACCTCCTCAGGGGGCGGGGGTGGCGCTGGGGCCTCCCCGCTCCCCATCCCCGGCCAGGACTCCCGGTGCTGGGGGTTGCTCTTGAAGGGGAAGCGCAGCTTACAGTCGTGAGGGGGCACGAAGCGGGCGGGGGGCCTGCGCAGCCCCCCACCCCGGCCCCCAGAGCCCTGCAGTCCTTGCAGCCGCAACTGCTCCTGCTTGAGCCAGCGAAGGCGGCCTCGACGGAAGGCAGGGTCCTCCTCCATCAGCCGTGACACCCGCTCCCAGCTGGACTGGGGTGGCGAAGCGGGCCGGGCTGAGGGCCCGTGGTCATTGGGGGCTTCCTCCTCTACGACCTCTGACCCTGGGGGCGTGGCCCAGGTGGCCTCATTGGCTTCTTCGTTCTCATCCTCATGATCCTGGGAGGGAAAGAGGGAGAGAAGAGAGGAGTGTGAGAAGAGCCGAGTTTCCTGAGCACACGGTTTGGAAGGCCCTGAGTGGCCGAATGTCAAGGGGTCCCCAGAAGGGCGCGGTGGAGACAGTGGTTCAGGAGCACAGGCCCAGGAGCGGGGGTCTGAGCTCAGCCCCGGTCTGCCCCCTCCCAGCTGTGTGGTCTGGAACTCGCTTGTCACCGTACCTCAGTCTCTTCATGTGTGAGATGAGACCAATAGAAATAATAGCTACTGCACAGGGTTGTTTTAAGAATTAAATAAATTAAACAATGTAAAGTGTTTAGAACAGTGCCTGATACATAGTAGGCACTCAACAAACACAGCTGAACAAATAATGTGCCCTGGGGATTGGCAATCAACAAAAAGGGAAGAACAAGACTGGCCACCATTTCAGTGGGGAAGACAGTTAATAAGAAAAATTATAATGTGGTACATATAGGATAGCTCAATAAAAAGTTAAATATAGCCAAAACCGGTTTGGCTCAGTGGATAGAGCGTTGGCCTGCGGACTGAAAGGTCCCAGATTCAATTCTGGATGTACCTTGGTTGTGGGCACATCCCCAGAAGGGGGTGTGCAAGAGGCAGCTGATCAATGATCCTCTCTCATTGATGTTTCTGACTCTCTATCCCTCTCTCTTCCTCTCTGTAAAAAATCAATAAAAAAATATATTTTAAAAGTTAAATATAAAGTATATATTTACGGGGGGGCAATAGGAAGATATGTATAAATACCTTAATAAAAAATAATAAATAAAAAATGAAAAAGAGTAGATAGTATTTAAACTACTTAGTACCCATTACCCATACTATATATAAGTACAAACATTACACAATACACTTTACATAAATTATACACATTGAGATAAAGAACAAGGAAGGGGGATGGGAGGCCAGGGTGAGTTGGCTGCAATGAATCGCCAGAAAGGGTTTTACTGAGAAGTTACCTTAGAGGAAACACCCAAAGGAGGGGGGGAGGTGTGAGACTTTCATGGGGAAAGGCATCCAGACAGAGGGAACAGCAGGTGCAAAGGCCTTGAGGTAGGAGTGCGCCCAGCGGTAAGCCAGAGCGGCAGGAGTGGAAGAGCAGAGGGAGCTATGCTGGAGAAGCCTTCCGTAACCACGAGCTGCTATGGAGGCCTGCCTGCTGTCCTCCATCAGAAGGTAAGCTGGGCCGAAACCGGTTTGGCTCAGTGGATAGAGTGTCGGCCTGTGGACTGAAAGGTCCTGGGTTCGATTCCGGCCAAGGGCATGTACCTTGGTTGCGGGCACATCCCCGGTGGGGGGGTGTGCAGGAGGCAGCTGGTCGATATTTCTCTCTCATTGACGTTTCTAGCTCTCTATCCTTCTCCCTTCCTTTCTGTGGAAAAATCAATAAAATATAATATATTAAGAAAAAAATATACTGAATTCTTTAAAAAAAAATCAATAAAATATATTTTTTTTAAAAGAAGAAGAAGAAAGCAAGCTGGCAGAGCAGCAACTCTGTCTGCCGTGAAGCCCCAGAGGCTCGCACAGAGCCTCGTACACAGTAAGCACTGAGTGTTCATTTATTGAGTGAACACACGCAAATCAGGGGCCAGTGATGATGCTCCCTCGCAGGGCTGCTGTGCAGATTAAAGGTGGTAGCACAGGAAGTGCTCAGCACGGCAGCAGGCACAGAGTGAGTGGGCCCCCATGGAGGGGGAGTGATGAGAAAGCACATGTGAACATTCAGCAAGTGGTAACTTACGAAAGTGCACTGTATCTCAGGGGTCCTGAAACCTTATTATACCTCCCAAACACCTGGGTACTCATCATAAGTGCGGATCCATCCCCAAAGATGCTGATTCGGTGGGTTTGAGGCAAGACCCAGGAATCTGCATTTTCTATTAGTGCCCTAGCAACCGAGGCACATAATTCAGAAACTACTGAGAAAAGCTGCTATACATGAATGACATTTCCGAAAGCAAGAAGGGGAAGGAGGTTGGAGGAGGTTCCGATTCTGAAAGGGGAGAGCTGAGGAGGGAGGAAGCCCGGCAAGGCCCTCGGTACCTGGGTCAGGGGGATGACCCTCTCCATGCGGAGCATGCGGTCCCGCAGGGCCTGCAGCTCCCGGTCCTTGCTGCTGTTCTGCAGCTTCACCTCCTGCAGGATCCCGGTCAGCTTGTCGATGTGCGCCCGGAGGTCCTCCACCTCTGCCCCGCGGGCTCCCTCCTCGCCACCTCCACCTCCACCTCCGCCGCCTTCCTCCTCGCCCACGGTGTCCCAGACATCCCGGGCCACGGCCTTCCAGGCGTCCCCGGGACCCTCCGGCTTGCCGTAGGTCCGGCACAGCTCCCGCATCTTGAGGGCGGCCAGGGCCTCGATCTCGGCCCGCCCGTGGCGGAAGTCAGCCAGGGCCACCTCGTAGCATATCTCCTTCACTGCCTGCATCTTCAGGTCGGCCATGGTGGCCCAGCGGGGGTCTTTGCCCTGCAGCCGCCGGCGCTGCGGGATCTGATACACCCTGCGTGGGGCGCGGCGCTTGCCGCTGCTGGGCAGGCCACAGCGCTTGACGATGGTCTGGACTGTGGTGGGCGGCAGCTGCTCCCTCAAAGAGGAGATGAGCCTCCAGCTCTCTTCACAGGAGCGCTTGTCAGAGTCATCGCCACTGTCAGAGTCCGCGTACTGGGTGGGGCCAGAGAGAGAACAAATCGGGAGGAGGCTAAGGACATCCCAAAACTCTGAGTCCCAACAGCACTGGAAACAGCCATCAGAACCGCACACCCTGAGGTGGGCTGCTTAACCTCTGCTCAGCCATGCCACAGAGATGATATCACTGTCCCCCTCACAGGCACAGTCTGAGGTTAATGTACCAGTGAGGAAGCAGTGGCCGGCACAGAAAGTGGCCAATCAGCATAAGCTGCAGCTTATCGTCTCGTTTTCTTGCACGTGTGTTACTGCCCAGGATGAGGTTAAAGATTTAAAAGTCACCCTGGCCCGTTTGGCTCAGTGGACAGAGTGTCGGCCTGCAGACTGAAAGATCCTGGGTTCAGTTCTGGTCAAGGACACTACTAGGGTTTTGGGCTCGATCCCCAGTAGGCAGCCAATCAATGATTCTCTCTCATCATTGATGTTTCTATCTCTCTCCCCCTCTCCCTTCCTCTCTGAAATCAATAAAAATAAATAAAATAAAAAACGATTTAAAAGTTCACGTGAAGAGCAATCTTAAATGAATAACAGGACCGGTGGAAATCATAAAGGTGCCACAGGACCGGCTGGAGTCTGGGAGCCCTGGAAGGAACTCCAGTTCCCTCCACATTTCTCTCACAGCCGTCTCCTAGACACCACTCCCACCCGCCTCCACGCCACTCCTCACTCTGGCGCAGTGTGCACCAAGAGCGGAGCCAGGCTGCAGCGCTGCCAGCCTGGCTCCTGCCCCTGTGCCCTCACGCCTGCCGACTCCTCACCAGCCGCTGCTGCTCCAGCAGAAGGTCAGCCTCTTCCTTCTCTTTCCGGTACTGATTCTCCAGGTCCTGCAGCCTGGAGTGGGAAGAGAGAGGAAGGCTTTGTGAGATTTTGCAGCCACTCCAATGGGTGTCCAACAGCAAGATGCTGTGGGTTGGGGGCCGGGAGGAACAGCCTAGAGGGCCCCGGGGCCTGGAGCACCCCCTCCTCGCACCTCTTCTCCATCTCCAGCTTGATGTCAATGCCTTGCTGCTCCAGCAGCTCCTTCTGGGCAAAGTTCCAGTCCACGGGCTCAGAGGGTGGTCCTGGGGGTGGGGGGACCCCTCGCTCCCGTTCCAGCCGTGCCTGCTCCGGGTGATTGAAGCGGAAAACGTGGTTCTTGCCCATCACAATCCTATTCCCTGGAGATGGGAGGAGGGGAAAGTGGACTCGCTCCCCTGTGGCAGCACACTCGTCCCCGTGCCCAAGATGTACAAGGTCTTGCCCACAAGTCGCAGGGGCCCTGGCACCCGCTCTCTCATCATGCCAAGTCTGAGGGTGGTCTAAGCCCAGGCTCCTCCGGCTGATACCAGGAACCACCCACCCTGGGGCAGAGGGCATCCTGTTCCCGTTTGCCTGGGCAACAAGAGAAACCAAAACCTGACTCCTAATCGTCACTTCCCAGTCCTTTTTCACACCCACGCTGCTCCCTAGCTCTCTCTGGGTGCTGCCCAAGGTTCACCAGGAAGCGCGGCCCTAGCACTTCCTCTGCCCAGCATGCCAGCACCTCCCCGAGCACGTCCTCTACCTGACTTCAGCACCAGCGGCTCGGTCACCAGTTTCCCATTGACATAGGTCTCGGCTCCTTCACAAGGCTCCAGGGTGACCACCACTGAGGGAGAGAGAAAGGAAAGGAAGCCATCAGACCCCGGGGTAGGAGGATTATGGTCATATTCCCATCTTGCATTACCCCCCAAAATACATGCATCCCCAGCCCCACCCCCCAGTACCTGTTAGGGGTGTCATGGCCCCTCTGGTGGCAGGCAGCAAGGGAAAGGAAGAGCAGAAGGAGGGTTAGAGCCCCAGCTGACATTCCCAGGAGCCTCTGCAGGAGCTCTGTACTCCCCCACCACCATCCTCCCCACAGCAGCTTAGCAAACCTGTGATTCCCAGCCAAATGGTCATCGGGCCCAGTCATTCCTGCCTTCCGGATGCCCATCCCTTCCTTTCCAACTAGCATTATCCTGGGGTAGGCCTGGATTCCTCCAGCAGGCCCCTAGACCTGTCTGATGCATCTTACAAAACACTATCGGACTAATCTGCTCAAGCCACAGCCAACAAACGATCATTGTCTTCACAGGACAAGGTACAGTCAACCCAACCCAAGCATTTATCCAGGTGCTCCTCTGAACAAATCACCAAACCTACTGCTTGCTGAGACACAAAGATGACTGAGGCAGCTTCCTGTCCTTCTGACAGCAGCTTCCTGCCTTCCTATTATCACAGAGAGTCTGTATCACAAAAATCCAGGTTCTGCAACTCCTAAGCTGAGGGACATTGAGCACATCACCCAACTTCTGTGAGCTATAAAATGTGATCATCAAAGACTTCCCATTCTACAGCTCACAGAAGTTAGCTCAGAGTGGTTGAAAGCCCAAATAAAGTGATATGGAAGCGTGAGTTATGATTTATGCTGGAAGTAATAGAGAAACTGAAGTGTATGGTAAGATAAGGCAGAGATGGGACTACTGATACTGTGGGAGACAAAGAAAGCAGAGAGGAACTCAGCTTAGACAAGAGGACTAGAAATGAGTATGGGAAAGCAGCAATTTCTGAGCCGATGCTTGAAGAGACCCTAAAAAAGGGAAAGAAATAATGGAGAAGAAAAAAAAGACAGAGAAAGAAGCATCACCATATGCCCCAAAACAACAATGAAAGAAGGCCGCAGAGAAGAGGATGGTGTGCCTGTAATGGGTACCGGCCTGCTGCCCACCCTTATTCCCTGTCATGCCCCCAAATTCAATCATCCATTCCACACACACACTGCACCCTACTATCTGCCAGGCACTACCTGAGGTCATGGAAACGTAGCAGAAATAAAACCCCAAATCCCTGTTCTTACAGAGCTCACTTCCAAGTGGTAAGACAGACGGCTAATGAGTAAGTCAGGAGGCAGTCTCAAGTCAGAATGACGGGTGTAACAGGAAAATGGGTTTGGGCAAGGAGAGGGTTTTGCCAGAGCTGGCCAGGCAGCTTCTCCATGTCCATGAACTCACAGCATTCCGTACTAAGGCAGCCCAGCGCAGAGTTCACAGCATGGCCCTGGAGCCTGCTACGCTATATTCAAAACTAGTTCTGCCATCTTCTAGCCAAATTGGTCTTGGGCAAATTCCCTAACCCTGGGTCTCAGATGCCTCACAGGAGCTGCATGAGAAAGAGCAAAGGTACGCAGTAGATGGTCAGTGACAACTATTCTTCTAGCTCGCACCCACCCCCTCTGCCTGTCTTTGGTCAAGTCTTCAACCTGCTGTACGAACAGAGGCACAAATGGACGGAACCTTTAGAGCCCCCTGTCTTTGGGGCAAAGATTCATCAGTTGCTTTTACTGATGTAACTAATGGTGTTTCAGCTGTCATCTCTCAAAACACCCTCTGAGCTCCTGAGGGTGGGCTCACTCCGCGTGCCTTAAATGATTCTGCTATCACCTCAGCACTACTGGAGGGAACCTCAGGACAGGAACTCGGCAATGACTCACTGGGCTGGATGATTCAACAGCTTTTAACCCACAGTGGGAAGCGTGTGCTGCCACTGAACCAGACCAGAGCGAGGGCATGAATCTGCTGACCCCACGTGACTTGGGATGGTGATACATTGTGGAACTGCATACCTGAAACCTATATAACTTTATTAACCAATGTTACCCAATAAGTTCAATTTGAAAAATAAAAATAATCTGCTGACCCTGAACCAACCAAAGCCCAATGGGCACGTCTTACACCTGAACTGCAAGCCACACAACAGTGTCTTTTCTGACTTTTAAAAACGTGCTGGCATTGCTTGTCCCCCCTCCCTGTGCCTTCAAAAGCATCAGACTAGGCACTCCTTTCAGATCTGTGAGACACAAGATAGGAGTTCAAGGTGAGGAAGAGCCATGTATAACATCTGCCGCCCTGCCCAGCACATTTCCTACAGCTCAACTGCACTTGGGCCTAACTGAACACAAATCATTGCACTTTTTTAAAGAAATGACTGATCAAGACCAAAATGGTGACCTCAAAATACACCCCGAATCTCAGGAGCATTGTTCTGTTGATGTCAGACAGGCATCACCCTTTGAGCTTGTGATTCTTAAAAGCTTTTGCAGCTATGGCATAGAGAGGCAAAACAATCTCTGAACGTTTTGGAATCAAAGGGATACATGGGCCAGTTAACTCCCTGAAACCATTGCAGTCAGAGCTGGACAGATAGACACATTTTCCGGAGATAAATTCAGAAGGCCCACTGGAACAAATAGAATTTCCATAAAAAATGACCAGGATGCTGTTTTAGGATAAAAAAAGTCAAGAAAGAAGGCAGACGACCTCTTCATCAAAATGCCAGTGCTGTTTCTGCCTCGGACCCTCGCCACGCACTGCCCCTCGCAGCACCGGGGTGAGTGCAGACAGCCTGGCCCTTGGTTTCCCTAACGCTCACCATGAGCTCAAAGCCCCTGTGAGGATGAGGACACATGCCCTCATACATGGCTGCACACCCAGTGCCCCATGCAGTGTGAACGTGGCCCTGTCCTCTCCTGTCTGGCCACTCCACTCGCACTCCCTCGGCATTACCTTCTCCGTCCGGCTGAGGGATGCTCCGGAACACGCAGTGCTGCTCCCGGATGAACTTCCCGGTGAGCTTGATGTCCACACCCACCTGGCCGACCCTGGGAAGCAATGGCCAACAATTCCTCAGCAGGTGTCGCACAGTCGCCAAGCCGCTTCTGAATGCCAGTCATCCCCTCTGTGAGCCAAGTGTCATTATTTCTACGTCATAGGTGAGGACGCTGAGGCTCAGAAGGAAAACTAACTTGCCCAGAGACATGCAGCCCAGGAGTGGGGAGGCTGGGATTTGAACCCAGGTCTGCCTGACTCCAAAGCCCCTGTGTCACGTAGTAGACGAGAAAAGGGAACCCGGAGGGGATGGGCCTCCCATCATCCTTTGAGCTGATCACCTGAGAGCTCACTGCCTACCATGGGCAGCTAGTAAATGCTGTGGTGAGACAGAAAGGGGCACCCTCACCTCATTAACTCCAAGGTGACCTCAGAGGCACCGAGCCCCAGGGGTTAGCATTAGCCATGCAGCCACCCACAGCCCAGGCACTGCCCCTAAACAATGAGGGCCTGGGACCACGATTCCCTCTACCCCACAGGGAGGCTCCATCAAGGGAGGCCGAGGCAGTGGTGCTAAGGCTAAAAATGTGGAGGTCTAGATTCCAACCCCGTCTGTGCTCTAAGCCTGTGGTCAGCAAACAGCAGCTCATGAGCCACATGGGGCTCTTTGGCCCCTTAAGTGTGGCTCTTTCACAAAATACCACAGCCTAGTATTTTTTAAGAATAATTACAAACAAAAATAGTTTTCTTCTATTTTGAAGAAGTGGTGTTAGAAGTTTAAGTTTAAAAAATTTGGCTCTCAAAAGAAATCTCAATCTTTGTCCTGTCGATATTTGGCTCTGCTGACTAATGAGTTGCCGACCACTGCTCTAAGCAGTCAGGAGCTATCCCCGCAGCGCTGGGTCAGTTTGTCCCAGGAGGCATCTCAGCCAAACCAAAGTGGTGGGTGAGGCAGGACAGCTGCTCAGAGGCCAGAGGAAGCCTAGAAAGTGAGCAGAGCTGTGGAGCAGCCATCCTGACATCCGGGGTGTTTCCAGCAAGGTCACCAGGAAAGGGAGTCACTAGTGTGGCCGTCCCTCTGCAAACCGCACCCCAAAAGGAGAGGCTGCCCCACAGGCCACTGATCCAACACTACCTGGTAACACCATCTTTGATGTGGTAGAGCAGACATTCTGACATCAGCGGGTCTTCATTCAGGTTCACCAGATGGGGAGTCTGTGGGAAAGCGGGGGTCAGGGAAGCGGTCCTGAGAGCCAGCCAGGGGGTGCCGCAGGGGGGAAAGAAGCTCCAGCGGACATTCCTCTGGGTTCTAGCACTGAGCTGCTCCTCCTCCCCTCACTCGGCGAACTCTCCCCTCTACTTACTCCCACTTACTCCATCACTTTCAGAACAGCCTCACCCTCCCTCTCCTCATACACCAGGGCCTAAAATAACCCATCCATCTACCCCTTCCCAAGTCAGCAATCTTTCCGAAGGCCCCATTTCTTCACAGGCACCTCGACCGCCCATCTCCTTGAAACCTAGAGTCTGCCTGCCCTCGCCTCTGCTTTCCCTGTATTCCCCGTCCCCAGGTCTCATTTCTTCCTTCAAAATGTATCTTGCCACTTCTGGAGAGACTGGGTGAGGGGACTGATACTTCCCACTTTTTTTTTTTTTTAATATATTTTATTGATTTTTTACAGAGAGGAAGGGAGAGGGACAGAGAGCTAGAAACATCAATGGGAGAGAAACATCCACCAGTTGCCTCTTGCACACCCCCTATCAGGGATGTGCCTGCAACCAATGTACATGCCCTTGACCGGAATCAAACCTGGGACCCTTCAGTCCACAGAGCTAAACCAGTTTCGGCTATTTCCCACCTTTTATTACAGCTTCAATTTCTCAGGAGCATGGATTACTTTTACTTAACAATCATAATTTAAAAGTAAAAAGTGTCAGTTCAAGCCCGGGCAGGGTTTGCTCAGTAGTTAGGGTCAGCCCACACAATATAAAGGTCTCGGATTCAATTCCCAGTTAAGGGCAAGTACTTCAGTTGCAGTCTCTCTCACATCAATATCCCTCCCACCTCCCCTTCCCTTCTATCTTAAACCAATGGAAAAATACCCTCAAGTGAGGCTTTAAAAAAAAAAAAGTGTCAGTTTAATTCAAAAGCATATAAAACAAACAAACCCCCTTTTCCCTAATCTTCCCTGGCCACTACCCCTTCCCAGCCCTGCTTCACCTGGGGCCAAGGTCACTGCAGCAGCTGCCTGGTGTTGTCCCTGTCGAGTCCCATCTAACGGGCTGATCATTATGTTGCTCCACATCAAAAACTCAGTCCATTCCCTTCCCCCAAAGCACCCTTTCCTGACTGGTTTCTCTAGCAACACCCCACTCTCCCCAGGCATGTAGCTCTGGAAAGCACAGTATATATATAAGCCCTTTTCCCTCTACACACCCGCACACCACTGCTGCCATCCTGGGGAGGTCTCCCTCCCTATATCTGCTGCCTCAGCTACCCGGCCGCAACTGTCTGACTTCCTGCCGTCTCCAGGGGTCTCCCAATTTTCCTGCTTATACCACACCATGGCCAAGTCATGCTTCTCCACTCAGACCAGCCCAGCTGGCATCCCATGCCCACCTGACTTAAGCCTTTTTTTAAAAAAATATTTTTTTATTGATTTCAGGGAGGAAGAGAGGAGAGAGAGAAGCATCAATGATGAGAGAATCATTGATTGGCTGCCTTTTGCACGCCCCCTACTGGGGATTGATCAGCAACCCAGGCACGTGTCCTTGACAGGAATCAAACCTGGGACCCTTCAGTCCACAGGCCGATGCTCTATCCACTGAGCCAAACCAGCTAGGGCTAAGCCTGCCTTTTACACTGGCATCCGTGGGCCTCATTCACATCAGGGCCCCAGCCCACCTACCCCAGCCCCTTTCTGGGATCCCTCTCTCCTGTGTTCCCACCCAGTGGGACTGAACACTTATTCCAGAAGATTCCTTTATCCCTAAACATGCCCAGGAGCTGCTCCCCTTGTTCCCTCACCTGGAACAGCCTCCCTCCCAGCCCCACCCCAGCCCCACCTGTCAAAGTCATTCACTTCCCTCACAGTCTGTCTCAAATGCCACTTCCTCCGCAAAGCTCTCCCCTGCCTTCCAACTGAAGACAAGATGCTCTGCCTCTTTCTACAAGAAGTTACTTCCTAAAGACCCTGAGAAGTGCTAGGTGGGACCCAGAGATGAAGCAACCCCGATGCTGCTGTCCTGTCATCAAGGAAATCTGTCCACTTGGAAAGGTAAGACGTGGCAACGTTACAGTGGAATTTCTGATCTTTTCACATCTTCACTTAGTAATTCACTCATTTGTTCCCAGGAGCTGAGTGCCACCAGATCCTGGGCGGGGGAGGTAGAGGCAAAGATGAATAAAGTGAAGAATGCAGGACTCAGAGTTCAAGAAGCCCTCCTGGAAAGGCAGCACGGGCTCCGATCTTGAGGATGAGGGCGTGGACACGCAGCATGAAGAGCGTTCCAGGTCAAAGAGGAGTGTGAACAGCAGCATGGAAGCGTGAAAGCACACAGTGTAGGGAAAAGAGCCAATGGTCGGGCCCCGTGTTTCTTTGGGGACCCCTGGATGGTGATCCGTGGATATACCATGTACCCCTGCGCCTGCCCCTCTACCCAGGCACCCCAACAATTCCCTGCTGCCACACTTCCTCTTCTCCCCAGGGACTCTCACGCCCCTCCCAACTCTGTAGTGTCAGGCATGCCAAACACTGATGGGCTCTGAGAGCAGAGAGTGATCTCTCCCTTGGGAGAGGGGACATGATTTAGGACAGCGCTCTTGAATCTCTGTTCAGCCCTGGAACCTTTTGTTCAGATGAAACCTTACCTAGAAGCTGAATATGTCAAGCAGATAAGCAGGGAGCCACTCAGGATGAGGCTGGGGGTGGGGGACCCAGAGTTTGGTCCTCCCCCCACCACCCTTACCCACTCCCACCCGTGTGAAAGCAGCACCAAGCCAGGTTTAAAAGTCACCCAGTTAAGAAGGCCTGGTGGTGGGGGATCCCAGAAAGAGGGAACTTTCCCTAAGACTCTTGGCCCTCTCCAAGACCAACTGTAGCTTTTCCCCTAGGACCAAATTCCCAGGCTGGAGCCCTCACCCATTTCCCCATTGGTAGTCTAACAGCTCCCCTCCTGAAGCAAACAAGCCTTTTAAACATATGAAAGCATGTTCATCCTCACCACCTTGAGAAAATGCAAAAGTAAAACACCATTTTACCAGATTGGTAAAGATCAAAAATTAGGAGAGGGTGGCCAAAACCGGTTTAGCTCAGTGGATAGAGCATCAGCCTGCAGACTGGAAAATCCGGTTCGATTCCGGTCCAGGGCATGTGCCTTGGTTGCGGGCACGTCCCCAGTAGGGGATGTACAGGAGGCAGCTGATCGATGTTTCTCTTTCATCGATGTTTCTAACTCTCTCCCTTCCTCTCTATAAAAAATCAATAAAATATATATTTTTTTAAATTAGAAGCGGGTGAGGATGTTGCTTCTGGGAGTATAAAGTGGCATGGTTATTATCGTTGGAGGGCACTTTGGCAAAATAGATTAAAATTTTACATAGCTACTATTTGATCCAAATCTCCACTTCTAGGAATTTTTTTCTACAGATAACAGACCTATTTAAGATCAAGCGTTGTAATATTGTTTATAATATTGAAAAATGGGATACAACCTAAATGACAATCATTAGGAAACTGGCTAATTAAATTATCCTACATCACTAGGATATTCTGACACCCTGGAAAAGAACAGACAGAATTTCAATGTTATGTGAAAAAGCAAAGTATAAAGTACTCAACCACTACTATTCCAAAAAGAGGTCATGTATGTAGGCACTCGCGCCTGCATGCACACACACCTGCGTCTAATTATACATAACCCGCACTTGTGTGTGCACTGGCTACTTCCAGAACATGTCGGAATCTGATAAGAGGGCTTGCCTCCGGGAGGGGAATCTGAGGGGGGAAGGAAGAGGACTTCTTTTTCACTGTACCCACCTCTCAGCGCTATGGGAAGGCTCTCTCTGGTATAGATCACCTTTTTAAGAATAATTACAAAAAAAAAGCGACTCATCCTTATTGGTCCCTGAGCTTCAGTAGGAGTGGAAGCCCTCCAGGGAAGAAACACCCACCACATCTACCTTTCTCCACCCATTTCTACCTTTCCTCCAGCCCTGCAACTGTGGAGGAAGCTCCTCAGGTACCCAGTACCTCAAGGTGGCTGCAAGCTCTGTTGAGAGCCATATGTAGCTCCTCCCCCAGATGCAGACCTCAGAAGGACCCCAAGCCCTGGGTACCCACCCTTGGACCAGGTCCCTCAGTCCAGCCTGCCACCCTCCATCACCCACCCATAGCGCTCTCACTCCCTCACTGTGCCGTAGGCTATGCAAAGCAAACCCCTCTCTTTTCAGATCCCTGTTCAATGACCCCTGCTTGCTCAGCCTCCCAGACGGCCCTGATCTTATGAAACCAGGAGGGCTTCTTCCAATAATCGGCCACCTGTCCTAGGCAGTTCCTGTGACCCTGCCTGCATCAAGCACTTTGGTCCTTCATAAAGTAGATCAAACAGATGTGGCTAGCTCTCCAGGGGACTGGGAATTCCTGACTTACTCAAACTGGCTTCCACGTCATCCCTTCATCAAGATGTCTGACCCATACAGCTGTGCCGGCTGTCTATGGCTAGCATCCATTCTGATTGGTCCGTTCCTATGCTCTGCTGGTGCCTCCACATGCGCTTGATCACTCCTAGCCTCCTTCCTTCCTTCCTTCCTTCCTTCCTTCCTTCCTTCCTTCCTTCCTTCCTTCCTTCCTTCCTTCCTTCCTCTCAGTAAAGATGTACTGAGCACCTGCTACCCGCTACACCCCAGGCACATGACACATGCTGGTGCACCCCACCCACTGATACCTGTGTTTCCTTTGCCTAATGTTCTCTCTGCTCTTAGCTTCTCCCAAATCTTGACCTTCTTTCACGCTCTGATCTTACGACATCTGGTCAACCTCCACCAAACAGGAAGCCCTCTCCTGCAGCCAAACCACCTTCTCCAGGAAATCAGTTTCCATTCATCTACAGGCTGTACTGATGCTACCATCTTTAAACCTCTCGCCGCTTCTGCAATCAACATCTTACAGTTTGGTGCTTATTTCTTATCTATTTCTAAGTTATCCTTTTTGAAATATATTTTTAGCTAATTTTTTTAGTAGATGCCATATGTACAGAGTACAGAAGTCAAATGATACAAAATAGTTTACAGTGAATAAATCTCTATCCAACCAAACTCCAACCTCCCAGGTCTTCTCCCTCTTTCCTAGGGCAAGCACTGTAACCAGGTTCTTACTGAAGTCCAGGCATGAATTCACATACACACGTGTGAGGTGATGTTTGTAAATACCTAGATTCTAAGCACTCTTGAAGCCCCCTAAGGGCAGGGGCTCTGTCATCCTTCTGGGTCCCTAGAGTTCCTGGCCACAGGCACTTACTGAGAACTTGCTTCTTTAGCTAACTGTCAGATAGAGGGAGAGAGAAGGCAGGATAGCCAGACAACACAGAGAGAAGATGCAGGAGTGGGGACAGAGATGATGGGGGATAATTCAGAGACCTTGGAGATGAGGGTTAGAACTTATCACTCTCCCATCCCCAACCGTCTTTGTTAAGCACCCAGGGTCTCCTAGGCCTCTTCACCCACCCACTCACTCACCTTCTTCGGAGAGAAGACACCCACGGTTCCCCCATCTTCCCGGACAGCCACTCCCATCTCTGCCAGCAATGCTTCTCTGCAGGCCAAGAGACAAATGTTAGTCTTATCCTCGTTACCCATGAATTCCTCCCCTGTAGAATCTGACCTTCCCTCCCCATCCCCCAATCTTCCAAGACTCCAACTGTCCCCCTTCCGCCTCATACCTCTCCATCCTCAGGGCTTCAGTCTTGCGTAGTTTCTCTTCCCAGGTCTCATTCAGTTCAGCTATGATCTTCTCTGTTTCCTGGGGGCATGAGGCAGACAGGGATCAGGATCTTCTGGGGCAAGTACCTACCATGGGGCCCACATCACTTCTGGCTTTGGAGAACTACATTCCCATCAGCCCCCAGGTCCCGTCCTGGCCAGCTCCAGCTTCCCACCTGCAGCCTCTCCATGGCCTCCTCAGGCCCAATCTGGGGCTCAGCATTGGGGGAGAATGATGGCTCCAGTTCCCCATTGTGTATAGGGGGAGATGAGGGTGAAGCTGGGGAAGGGGGAGACGCTATAGCTGGCAGAGCACCTCCAGGGCTCCCCTCATCCACCTTCAGGCCTGGGAAGGAGAAAGAAGGCAAAGAAGGAGGCTAAGGAAAGATGTAGCTGATTAGAACATAGAGAAGGCCTCAGAGAGGACCAGTCTATAAGGACTTCCGAAGACATCTGGTCAACCTCCACCCAACAGGAAGCCCTCCTACTGCAGCCTTAGCAAATGGGCACCCAGTCTCTGCTTGCTTCCCTCTAAGGTGGAGAGCTCATTACTGAACAAGGCAATGAGTTCCTTCCATTGTTAGGTGGCTCACACTATCAGAAAGTTCTTAGCTATGTTGAGCTAAAATCTACCCCCATTACAGGTGGCCACTGTTTCTGATCCTGCCTTCTAGGATAAGAGAGACTAGACTATTTTTGTTTTTGTTTTTTTCTTACATCTACCTTATCCTTCTGTTACCAAGAATGGACACCCTTGTTTCCCCTACTGAGCCCCTTAGCACCCTGACTGTCCTCAATGGGATGGATCCAAATACTGAATTCACAGTCAACACCTGACACAGCCCATACAGTTGTACATCCTCTAGAATAGATACCGTTTTGTATCAGTGAGGCTAAGCAGTAAACTTTAGAAACCATCCCACTATTAAGTGTTGTTAAGCTTATATTTCTGCAAGACAGGGGAGGTTCCCGCTCAGTATCTGTCCCATGTCACCGAGAACATGAAGGGCTTCAAGGTCAGTGGCCCTCCCTGCCCCAGGACTGAGCAAAGGCAAGTGAGGAGAGATGAGGCAAGCCAAGGGGCACCCCTGAGCTGCCCCTCCCTTGGAGCCCTACCTCCCAGAGCAGAGGCCGAGAGCCCCTGAGCCATCAGCAGTTCCCGCAGCCGCGCCACCTCCTCCTGCAGCTCCCGGATCAGCCGGGCATTAGGGTCCTCATTGATGATGGCATTGCAGCGGATCTGCTTGGTGCGGTCAGCATACCTGGGTGAGGAAGGAGGATTGGAATTAGTGAGGCCCAGACCCAGGTGACCTTAGTCTGCTGCCTGCTGCCTATTTCCCTCTCTCCCTCCCAGGTTTTAAAATACTGGGGCACAGTTGAGGGTCAACTCTGTCTCATGGGCAGGTTCCTGAACTACGTACATACCAGCATCTGAGCTCCCCTGGCACTTTTCTTATGCTGTTTCCACCCCACCAGAGCCCCACCTGAGGGTGCTGAGAGTCTCCTCGTAATTGATGTCTGCGGGGCTCAGGGCTGCAATCATTGCTGTGCGTGAGTTCCCACCTATGCACGGAGAGGAGGGGAAAGCTTAAGCTGGGCTGGGTACTAAGGAAAGTCAGACTGGGTCAGGGGGCCTTAGTGCCCAGACAGGGGTCTGGCGGGCACTGTCCAAGGTAGGCTGAAGCTAAGCATTGTGGAGCTACACATGAAATCCAGTAGCTACAGGGAGCAGGGTGAGATTAAGGAGACAACAGACATTGGTGAAACAGAGAGCAGGAGGAGGAGGATGAAGTCAGCAGTGGGTGTGGGGTCATGAGTGGCCAGGTTAGTGAGGCGCTTGGCTTGGCAGGCAGGGTGTGGCCTTGATCTCAGCAGCAGGATATCTTCAAAGGATGCTCCCCAAGTCAGGGGAGTCAACTGGACAACTCGAGAATTTGAGCTTCTCGGGGTGGCAAAGGGATTTATCAAAGGGGGTTAGCAGAATGGTGGCAAGGTCAGCAAAGACAGAGGAGGAGCCCCTCACCCAAATTCTCCTTGAGTAGCCAGGTGAGCACAGAGTCCCTGTAAGGGATAAAATCCGACTTCCGCTTCTTTGATTGCTGGGGGATAGAAGGGGAAGGGGGTCAGGGTGGGCCATCCCCGGTGTCCCCTCAGCCAGAGCCCCTTCTCTTCCCACCCCCAGGTCTTACCATATCCGCAAGGGCAGAGATCACCTTCCCTAGAGTAGTCAGGGACTTGTTTATATTGGCACCTTCCTGGAAAGCGATAAGGAATGTGGGGAATGAGGCCCTCCTCTCCCACTCCACCCCACTTCTCCTCCCTCCTCCCCGCAACCAGAGTCCCAGGTTAGGGTGAGGAACCACCGCACACACCCCAACCCTGCCCCCGTCCGTCCCTCCTAAGCCTCCTCACCTTCAGGCGCATGCCCCGGGCTCCTGAGGAGTCAGCCCGCTCACTCCCAGCAAGGTCCACCAAACTGATCTTACTAACCTGGGTCAGAGGAAAGAGGTAGGAGGTGGCTGGGTCAGTGGGGTGGGGCAGGCAAATCAGCAGAACACCCAGCAAGGGAACTGGGCTATTGGCAAGGGATGGAAAATTGCAGGAGGGGACGAAGGAACAGGGCAGGAGGAAATGAAATTTATTAAGACAATAGAAAGGGACTGGTTATTCATCCATGTGCGCATTAATTTGTTTATAGGTATTTACTTGCCCACTGTGTGCAGAACAAGGTACAGTGGGATCCAAGCCCTGCCCTGAGAAGTCTAGTTAAAAGGACAAACAAGAAAATAGGAGACTGTACCCTATTATTTGAGAGGAGGACCGAGACCTTTGGAAGCCTGGAGAAGGCACTCAAACCCAGCATGGACAGGGAGGAGGACACAAGGCCATTTCATGTTACTAGGTAGGGATAGTTAGGGGGAAGGAGGTTGTCCCCACCTTCTCGGAGTCCAGCCCAGTGAGCTGGTCATGGCAACGCTGTGTGAAGACAATGGTGAAGACGGCATGGGAGCGGCTGCTGGTCTCATTCATGTTGGTGGCAGCCACAGTCCTGGGGGAAAGGGAGTGGTCACTGGGTCCCTCCTCTCACCGTTCTAGGCCTGGCTCCCTTCCCCTCCACTCCACCGGCCCACCTCACCTTGCCTTATTTCCACAGTCCATGAGGTCGGCAATGTCTGCATAAGAGGTCACAGCCAATTTAGACAGGTCCTGCACGTAGGGGCCCAGGATGGGGTGCTCCCGGACCCGCAGAGCACCCCGACTCTTGGGGTTCAAGAGGTCGCGTACCCGTTCACAATAGATCTCCATGTAGCTCACCTGCGTGGAAGAAGAAAATAAGAAATAACAGCACGGTGATTACCGGAAGTAAAGAGGAGAGTAGGGAGAGGCAGGAGAGCGTCTGGGGAGATCAATGGTGAAGGAAGGCTTGACCTGCAGTGGTAAACACACAACACAGCATACACTTGATGTATTACAGAATCGTACACCTGAAATCTATATAATCCTACTAACCAATGTCCCCAATAAATTCAATAAAAAAATAAATTAAAAGTAACAAGCAAACAAAATACTGACTATGAAACACCCTATACTCCACTGAGTATGAAACTGGTGATTTCAGCTAAGGTTACCCTGAGCGTTTCCTAGCACCAGGCATGGCGCTAAGCACCTCGCATATGCTTACTGAGCCACCCACAACCCTAGGACGGGGACCCTGCCATTATCATTTCATAGATGAACATGCTCAGCAGCTGAGAGATAAAATCATTTGCTCAAAGCCACCGTTAGTAACTGGCAGGGCATGAATCCCAGGCTGTCTGACTCATAGACTGTCCTTGGTCTTAACCACTCCTCCCTGCCCCCACTCCCCCCCGCCAGGAACACCAGGCCCTCCCTCTTGCTCATCGAGACCTGGACTTACCTCCACAGAATAGGAGAGCTCAGCGCTCTGGTTCTTACTAACACGAGAGAAGAGGTCTTCACAGAGCTGGAGAGGACACAGAAAAGCCGCTGTTCACAGCGCACCTGTCCAGGCCCTGTCCTAAATAGTCCAGTTGAACCCTAACTCAGCCCTGAGGGAGGGGTCATTCCTGTTTTACAGATGGAAAAGCAACCTCAGAGAGGTTCACACTTGCCCGGGGTCACAGCTAGCAAACCCAGGCATCCTCACTCCAGAGCCTGTGTGCAAGGCCACTACACTGCACAGCCAGGGAGAATTACAAGCATCTCTCAGTTATCCGCAGCTGGCTTCCTGTATAGTCACCACGTTAACTATGGCACACCAGAACTCAGGGTGGGTATACTCTCAGTTGTTACGAGACAAGGTAAATGGTAAGTGGCAGAACCAGAGTCAAACCAGGGCTCTCCGATGCCTTAGCTTTGGCTCTCCTTACGGAGCCTTGTTGCTTCTGGAGGGTCCTGGATGTGCAAGGTGCAGCCAACCCTTACCCACCCTCACGTTCCCTGTCACTAAGGGCCTCAGAGAGCCAGCTCTCTGCTCCATAACCCTTAGACCCTTAGGGACAGCTGAAGATGCTCCCGCCCTGGCGGCCCGCTGGGTCCCGGCAAGTACCTGGGGCACGATGCCCTGCTGCCCTGGCTCCTGCCGGCCCATCATGGTGTAGGATTTCCCAGCCCCGGTCTGCCCGTAGGCAAAGATGCACACATTGTAGCCCTCAAAGGCGTGGAGCAGCATCTCCTCTCCAATGTCCCGATACACCTGTTGCTGAGATGCAAACTGGGGGTCCTCAGCCTAGGCGGAAAAGGAGCAGAAAGATAGCATGAGCCCTCGGTAGCTTGGTCCTCAGTGTCTAGGCCCAGGAGGCTTGCCCCCATTGTCAAAGACTGCCCAAACGTCTTGTGTGCTTCCCACCCATCACCTCCTAACCATCCCTGGGGGTCCTATTCCATTTCCTGCTCCCAGTCACAAGCTGTGTCCTACTCACCCCATCCCAACCACCCTCCCAGAGGTGCTTCCCTTGCAATGCCCTCTCCCAGGACCCGAACCCCCTGTCCCTTGTTGCTTAGCTCTTCCCCCGCCCAACAACCTTACCGAAGTGTGTGACCAGTAGGAGTAGTCAAAGGTGAAGCTTTTGGGGCCATCCTTGCTTTGTTTCGGATTGATGATGGCTGAGGGGGCAGGGGAGGGTGAAGGAAGGCCAAGGTCAGGCACTCCCAACCTCTGCCCACTGCCCACAAGCTCCTGAATCCAGGCATCCTAGTACTCCCTCCTCTGTCCTAGTTCATCTCTCCCCTTTAATGCTCCCCACCCCCTCCCGCACCAAAGCTAATTTTGGCTTCCTAGGACCCGCCCCCACCAGACTGCCTCCTTGGATTGGGCAATGGAGGGCTCCAGGCCAGCATTCCCCCTCCCAGACAGGAGCACGGAAAGGCCAGCCTGCCCCAACCCCCACCCTTACAACCAGCACCTGCTCTGAGCTGGGCACAGCCCTTCAGCCCTTCTCCCCGGCGCGGCCCAGCAGGACCAGCCTGTGTGGTGGGCCTGGCCCACCCCGCCTGTCCGCTGCCAGGCCCCTGGGACTCACTCACAGGTGGTGCTGCCCTGCATGCTGACCACACACTTGGCATCCTGGCTGGTCTCACGGGCATTAAAGGGCCGAACCCTCACCGCCACTTTCACTGAGGCACCCGTCATGGCTTCAGATTCTCCCACCCTCCTCAGCTGGAGGACAGACACACAAGAGGTGGTTAGAGCTGTTGGGGGGACCCAGACATCAACTCCCAGCTTCCCCAAGGAACCAGTCTCCACACACACCCCCTTCCTCAGCTCCCTAACCCCCCAAGAACCCAGTTCCTAGTTCCCTGGCCTTCCTCCCAAATGCCACTCTCCTCGGGGACTCCCAAAGGCACTGCTAGCCATATCCCAGCTCACGGTTACCTGTCGTCCTGGCCCCAGACCAGGGGGGCTGTATCAGTTCTGGCTGCTACCGGCCCTCGCAGGGGGAGCCCCATCCTACACCTGGGGCCTGGCCACGCCAGCTGGGGCTGTGGGGGAAACCCTGGTTGTGGGGGAAGAGTGGTTAGGAGGCACCTGTAGCTCCAGAGGTGTGTTTGGGGTTGCACGATTAAAGAATAAGGGGTAAGGGGTGATGTCAGGATGGCTGTCCCTCTGGAGTGGCCGAACGCAATGTGAATCCAAGGGCAGAGACGGTGATATTTTTATTCCTCGTCACTCACAAGCATACTAAGCGTCAGATAGAGGAGAGGCTGCACAGAGGGCAATTCTGAGAAAGGGACACAGGGGCAGAGACCCTGGGGGTGGCGGGAAGGGGGAAGAGGAGGGACAGAAAGCCACAGATACCAAGAAAACCAGAGACACTAGAGAGAAGGCAAAAATCGAGGTCACGCTACGAAGGAAATAATGGGAGGAAAAGGAAGGAGAGGCGCAGGCCAACAAACACAGAAATGGGAGGCCAGGCAGGGAGGAGGGCTCCAGGGCAAAAGCACAAACGGGGAGCCCAGAAGGGAAACAAGAGGAGAGAGAATCCTAAACATAAAGCCCACCCTAAAATTCCCACGCAGGGTCAGGGCCAGCCAGGGAGAAGCGGCGGCCAGCTCCCACCCAGGGCCCACACCCTCCACACACAGGCAGGGGCTGCCAATGGGCAAAGTGCAAGGGCTGGAGGTACAGTCCAGGGCTGGGATCCACAGGGCCTGTGGCCCCAAACCCCTGGCCCAGCCCCCCAGCACTTCCTCCTCAGGATCCAGGACAATGGGCAGGGGAGGGCGGGGTCATCCTGCATCCATCCAGCCCCGGGCTCCGGGTTGGGGAAGCCAGGATACCTGTCTTCATGGGGAGGGGAGGGTAACCCTGGGGTCTGTCTCCCTGAAAAGGGGGAGAAGGGAAAGGGGCAGGCAGGTCTGGGCCCCCTGCCTGAGGCCAATGCTATGGCGTCCACTGCCCTGGGGAAGGTGCCAGACTGGAGCCCAGGAATGTGGGTGATCGGGTGCCCACACCCTGGGAGGAGAGGCTGAGCAGCCTACGCCCACGGAGGCAGGGTGGAGAGTGTGGAGAGAGACTCGGGGATGCCAGGGTCCCCTTCTGAGACCCTAAAGGGCCTCAAACTCCTGTCATGTTGGTTGGATCTCACCTCACCGGCCTTGGGGGTGGGGGCACAGAATGCAAGGGCTGGTCTGTCCCAGGGCAGGAAGGGAATAGCTGAAACTAGAGGCTTTCTCAGGAAGAACAGCCCTGACCCCCCCAGATCCTGATCCCCCTGGTGGGGACACTCAGGGGTTCCGCCATGGGGGCCAACGGAGCGGGGACTGGGATGGCCCGGCTCGGGGACAGCGGGGAAAGGGCTAGGGGACAGGCAGGTCAGCCAGTGCAGCGCAAAGGAGCAGGGGGTGCAGCGAGGGCCACGACTGGGGCAGGGTCGACCCACCCGAACCGAAGCCTAAAGGACCGCCTGGACCCTGCCCGCCCGGCAGTCCGCACCCAGGCCCGGTCCCCGTCCTCCGGTGCAGCCAACCGACGGCGGCCCGGGCCTGGCACCTCTCCGCGCCTCGGCGGGACAAACAGCACATGACCCGGCTGCCTGGCCAGCCGGCCCTCCCGGGTCGCGCTCACACGGGGACCCCGCTCCCGCCCCCCAGCCCGACACATTCCTCCGCGGGCACCCCTCCCTCCCCTCCCCCAGCTCTCACTCGGCGGCGGCGGCGGGGCTCCCGGAGCGGCCGGCACGGCGCACGGAGACAGACTTCTCGGGGAGCCGGGGGCGCGAGCGGGGCGATCCGGGGCCGGTTCGGGGCTGCCCCCGCCCCTCGCCGGGTCCCCGGGCGGCGGGCGGGCGGCCGATTCACGCCCCGCGGGCGGCTGCAGAAGCGGCGCCAGCGGCCGGCGCCCGCCCGGGCAGCGCGAGCTGGGGCGGGAGCGAGGGGCGGGGAGCCGGCGGGCGGGCGCGCGCACGCGGACGGGCGGGGGCGCGCCGCTCGGAGCGGGGCCCGGGAGCGGCTGGAGCGGCTGTTAAAGGGGCAATGCCCTCGGGACTGTGGGCCCACCGGGCGGGCGGGGGGGGTAGGGGGTGCGGAACCAAGTCACGGCCGCCGAAGGGCGAGCTGGACGCCGGGGTTCGGGAAGGTTCTTAGCGCCTGAGGAGCCAGAGCAGGTGGGGCGGACCCCGCAGGGGACAGGGGACACCGCCGCGCACGCGCACGCGGCGGAGGCGCGCTCGGGGGCGTGGCCTCTCGCCGGGCCCCGCCCAGGAGGCGGCTCCGCGCAGGCCCCGCCCCCGCGCGCGGCGCTGGCGGCCCCGCCCCCGTCGCCGCCGGGCCTGGCGTTCTAGAACTGGAACTCGCCGGCAGCTGCCTCAGGTGCCGGGCCAAGTGCGGGCAGCGGCGGCACAGCCACCGGCGCTCCGCTCCTGCCGCCACCTCAGGCCCCTGCAGACCCAGGCGGTCCCCTCAGGCAGGAGCCCTCATCCATGGGGGGCCGCGTGCGGTCCTCCGACTCCCAGGCGTGGCTGCCCGCGAAGGCCTGCCCGTGCCCGTCTGGCTGCCACGTCAGGGCCGCCTTAGCCCCCCTTAGGCGAAGCCACACACCGGCCTGGCCCTTCCCTCCGGGCAGCGCCGCCCACCCTCCCTCCGCAGCCCAGACCCCTCCGGCCCTCATCTGCCCAGGGAGGCCCTGACTGCACCCCGGTCAACTGCCGAGTGCTCCGTCCCCCTTCCCGAGCCCCGGCCTGTCCCTCAGGTCTAGGTCACCCGTTTAGACCCAACCACCTGAGTCCGAACGGCCCTCAGCTCCCACCTGGCCCCTGAGGCCAGCTTACCCCGTCCGGCCCAGGGCTTCCCATGTAGACCCCTCCTGCCTTTTCAGCCCAACTCCATCCCACCGGCCACCTCAGCCCCACGCATCCTCTGTTCTCTCTCACCTGACTGCTGTCCCAGCCCAGCTGCGGTTGCCCTTGGATAAAGTTTCCAATCGGCCTTTCCTTTTAGGTTTCCTACAGGCACTCTTTGCAACTGGCATCCTTACAATCCAGCTGGCTCTCGGGTTGTATTTGGCTCCCCTGCCCCTGGCTCCATGCAACTGACCTTTGAGCACCTTGACCTGTAGACATGCCCCCTCCTTCCCTGTGACCACTCTGTCCATGCTTAACCAGGAATACCTTTAAAGCCCTCTTTCCTTTTTCAGGACCCACTATCCTCTTTCTAATCTCTAGGTCTGCTACTGGTCTCAACCCTCAATTCTCTAACTGCCCCAACCACCAATTCCATACCACAATCCATAGAAACCTCTGTCCTACCTAGTTTCCACCTGCCATCCCTTTTCATTTCATCATCTCCTAATTAAGGAACTTAACTGCCATTTGTAAATTTCACCTACTCTATACATTTGGCTTCAGAAAATTTATTTTCTCCTTTATCTTTTTTAAAATATATTTTATTGATTTTTTTTTTTTCTTCAGAGAGGAAAGGAGAGGGATGGAGAGCCAGAAACATTGATGAGAGAGAAACATCAGCTGCCTCCCACACACACACACACCCCCCACTGGGGATGTGCCCACAACCAATGTACATGCCCCTGACCGGAATCAAACCTGGGACTCCCCAGGCTGCAGGCCGATGCTCCATCCACTGAGCCAAACCGGCTAGGGCTTCTCCTTTACCTTTTACCACATCCACATTTCCTAGGCTCTCCATCTTCAACCTGCATATTCAGCTAATAGACATGTCTGGCACCAGGAATACCTGTAAAGCTCTCTTTCCTTTTTCAGGACCCACTATCCTCTTTCTAATCTCTAGGTCTGCTACTGGTCTCATCCCTACAGCTATTTCCATGAGTGAATGACTCATTTTTCATTATCCTCCTAGCCCTCCGTCCAGCCAGCCCAGTCCAGTCATGCAGGTACAGGAAGATGGAGACAACCTCATCCCCTTTGCCAAGTGAGTCGTCCCCACCCAGTGGGGAGAACAGGGACAGGATGGAGGGAAGATTGCATGCCTGGGCTCTTTCTTAAGAAGAGTTGGAAATAAGGAACAAGAAGCTCAATGCCTGGGCTCAGGGGATTGATGACTCATTAATTTATTCAGCAAATAATTTTTGAACACTGCATTGTTCCAGGCACTGTATTAGGCACCAGGGATTCAGCAAGTAGAAAGACAGAGGTCCTGTTCAAAGAGCTTACATTCAAGAAGGAGGAGACAGAATATGCAAATAAACCTCATTTCAACTAGTGAAAAATTAAAAAAAAAACAAAACAAAAAAAAACAGAGTGTAATAAGAAAATAGAATGTAGTAAGGTGATTGTGAAAGACTGTTCTAGGGAGGTGAACTTAAATTGAGATCTGAATAATGAGAAGGGGCCAGTCTGATAAGAACCACTGGGGAGAAAAAGGAATCGTAGGTTTTATTTTTTTACTTCTTTGGAAGGGAGAGAGGGGGAGAGGAAGAGAGAGAGAATGATAATTGATCGAATGTCTCCTGCACGAGGCCTGACTGGTGCTGGGTCAAACTCCAAGACCCTTCAGCGTGAGGGCCGTGGCTCTGACCATTGGGGAGCACCACCCAGGGAGGAATAGCAGGTCTTTTAAAGCTCCCAGAAACAGGCTTGGTATCTTCTAGGACCAGGATCGGGCCAGTGTAATCGAAACTTAGGGATGAGAGGCATATAGACAGTAAATTCAGACAGGCAGATGACCTAGTAGGCCATTGAAAAGAGTTTGGATTTAACTCTAAGTACAGTAGAAACCAGTGGAAGTTGGTGTTTTTTTTAACCCTCGCCTGAGATTTTTTCCATTGATTTTTAAAGAGAATAGAAGGGAGGAGGAGAGACAGAAACATCCATGTGATAGAGACACATCAATTGGTTGCCTCCCACATGTCCCAGATCAGGGCTGGGGATCCAGCCTGCAACCCAGGTAGGTACTTGACCGGAATAAAATCTGAGACCCTTCAGTCCTCGGACCAATGCTCTAAGCACTAGAAAAACCAGGTAAGGCAATCAGTGGAAGTTTTTAAGCAAGGAAATAACTGCAGGCTTTTTTTTTTTTTTCCTTCAACTTTTTTATTACAGAAAATTTAAACAAATACAGAAGTAGAGAAGGTAGCAAAATGAACTCAGCTTCAATAATTGTCATTATGTGGATAATCATCTCATCTGTATACTCACCCAGCCTCCTACTACTCATTATTTTGAAGTAAATCTCAAATTATACATCATTTCACATGATCACTTCTAAAAGATCACTCAAGCTGTTCTGTGAAGAGTAGTTTATAGGAATCAGAGAGAAAGAGGCCATTGCAATAGTCCAGGCAGTGTAGCAGATGAGCTGGAATATGGTGTTGGGAGTGGAAATGAGGAGGAGTGGTCAAATATGGGTATATTTTAGATGTAGAATTGATAGGACTTGCTGATAGATTTGGGAGGTGAGGGAAAAGGAGGTATACCAGGTTTGGGGCTCTAAAAACTGGGCATTAGGGGCCTTTCAGTGAGATGGGAAGGCTAAGGAGATGTTGAGTGGGCAGTGGAACCTGCAAGTCTGGAGTTCAGGAAAGAGGCCGGCTAGAAACACAGATTTGGGTATCATTAGTGGTATTTAAAGTTATAGGGGCAGGGGGAGATTAAGTCATGGGCCTGACTGAGATCACCTAAGGAGGGATGGGAATGGAGAAGATGCAGGGCTCAGGTCTAAGCCCTTGGACACTCTCCTCCTAGAGAGCAGGAGAGCAGTCATCACTCAATCCGCAGGCTTGGAGGTGAGGAGCACTGTTCTCAAACAGCTCCGTAATTCCCTCACCACCTTCAAAGACATTAGTCTTCCTGAGATAGGGGAGATGAAGCAGGAGTAAACAGGAATTCTGCTTTCCTGCATCCTTGCATTAACCTGTCAATCATCATCTGAATAGCTGATCGCTGGGCCTTCCTATTTAACAGCACCGCTTGCTAAATATGATGTTCTCTGGTTGTGGGGTGTAGCAGCTTGAGATTCAGTGAGATCTGAGGCTCAACAATAGCCAATTTCCACCCTCATCCCAGCTCCAATCTCCTTTCAAATCAGAGGCTCTACCACCTTCCTCAGCTAAAATGGATTAAGTGGGGACATAGCCTGTGAGCGTCTGAGTAGTTGTAAGGTCTCATGGAAAGACAGGGCCTCTGGCTCTAGCCATTTGGCTCACTGGATAGAGTGCCAGCCTGCAGACCAAAGGGTCCCGGGTTTGATTCTGGCCAAGGAAATATACCTTGAAAAAAAAAGGGGGGGGGCACATACCTTGGTTGCAGGCTCCTCCCCAGCCCAGGGATCCTGGTAGGGGCACATCCAGGAGGCAACCAATCGATGTGTCTTTTTCACATAGATGTTTCTGTCTTTCCCTCTCTCTTCCACTCCCTAAAAATCAATGGAAAAATATCCTCGGGTGAGGATTAACTAAAAATAAATTGATTTTTAAAGAGAATAGAAGGGAGCCTCTGAATAAATAAATAAATAAGACAGGGCCTCTGAATCTCTGGGGTGAGCAGATATAAGGGCAGAGCCAGCCCCTAGCCTCCCTTGTCCTCACCTCAGGTGTTCCAGGGTGGTCAGCCGATCTTCACCCCCAAGTTTGCCTTCCCAGAGCCTCAGACTGACACCCCAGCGTTATGGAGACATCTTCTGGGACAACCTTAGTCAAAGGCCCAGGTGGGTAGAAATGGAGAAAATGAGGACTAACGAGGTGGGAAGGTGAGGCTGTACAATTTTTTAAAATATATATTTTATTGATTTTTTTTAGAGAGAGGAAGAGAGAGGGATAGAAAGCTAGAAACATGAACCAGCTGCCTCCTGCATGCCCCCCACTGGGGATGTGCCCACAACCAATGTACATGCCCTTGACCAGAATCGAACCTGGGATCCTTCAGTCTGCAGACCAACGCTCTATTCACTGAGCCAAACCAGTTTCAGTAAGGCTGTACAAATTTTAACACTCATAAAGCTTTATAGCCCTGGCCGGGGTGGCTCAGTTAGCTGGAACAAGGAAAGGTGACAGGTTTGATCCCTGGTTGGCACAAGCGAGGAGGCAACCGATCAATGTTTCTCTCTCCCTTCTTCTCACTCCAAAGTCAATAAAAGCATGTCCTCAGGTGAGGATTAAGGGGGGAGAAGCTTTATGGCAATATGCACTAGTCTGGGAATAACTGCCTCGCTGGTTGATGGACACTGTAGCTCCTAATGCCAGATAAACAGGTGGTTGGGAGGGGTCTTTAGAGAAGCAACCCAGATGGGGGTGCCTCTCTGCACTTAGCCCCCTTTTTTGTGCTTCACAGCTGCACCTGGATGGAAGAACAGTGCACCCCACACCTGCTGGTATGACAGACTTTCTGCCCCTCACTACTCCCCAGTTAAAACTGCACCCCAGCTCTCCTAGTCCACGCCCCCTCTAGTGCCCCCCAACCAAAGCACAGAGCAGGCCCTCCTTTCTATCAATCGTGTCTGATCACAGCCGTTTTCGTGATCTGAGCTTCCCAAGACCCCGGACTCCCTATGTCAGTCGAAGCTCCCCTGAGAGCCCCAGTTCTGCCATCTCTCTCCTTTCCCCTTCTTTGGCACAGGGAGCCACTGGTTCTTCCCAGCCTGGCGTGTACGGCCCTGAGGGGCTCCCGCCCCCTGAGATGCTCTTCAGAAGAAAGAGGAGGTCGTATTTGGCAGGAATGCAGGGACATGGGGGCATCCCAGCCCGAGTAAGGGCTGTCACTTACCACCTGGAGGATCTAAGGAGGCGACAGAGAATCATCAATGAGTAAGGAGAGACATCTGGGCTCCCGGTGCCTAGCAGGGTTTGGACGCAGAATGGTTTGAGCTAAGGAAGGGGTGGAGGATTTTGAAGGAATTGGAGGTTGTTTGGGAATGAATCATGAACTTGGTGGGACTGCAGCAGAATTTCTATAATGTGGGAAGGAGGGAACTAAGGGATGGTGCATGAGCCATATGAGCTGGAAGAAGTGGAAACTGGATCACTAAGCACAGGAAAGCACTCCAGAGAACTGGAGGATCGTGGGCAGCTGGTGGTCACCTCTGAGTCCTTGGACCAAAAACACTTCAGTCTGAGGGGAGCAGATAGTGGGAGTGGAGCGTTGGAAGTCAAAGGACAATGCCCGTGGGTCCCAGCTTGCAGTGTTTTAGGACAGAAAGGTGAGGAATGGAGAGACCGGAAGTGGCCTCCAGGCACCCCTGCTAAGCCTAAAATCTCCACAGACTAAAGAAGGCCCAGTGGAGCAGCTCTGGCGCTGCAGCCGAGCCCCCGGTGCCAGGCGAGGCGAGCTGTGGGTTCCCCAGCACCAGCCAACACCCTGATCTGGAAGAGGAGGGGGCAGCCTTCCCACAGGAAGAAGACCACGGCCTCCCTCCTGGCAGGGCCCAGGTACGGTCGGAGAGGAACCCGGAGGGGTGATGGAGGGTGATGCGGGTGCCGGGGCTTGCATGGAGAGGCATCGGAAGCCAAGAGCCAAGTTGGCTTGCTGGGTTTGAGGGGAACAAATCAGAGATGTGGGGGTATCTGGGTATGGGCACTGGGAAATCTGGAGGGACATAACTTTTCTTTCTTTTTTTCAATCTTTCTCCTCTTTGCAGCTGCTTTGGTCTCCCTGGAGTCCCCTGGTCCAGGAAGGATCTTTCCTCTCCAGGCAGCTGAGCTCTCTGACCCCCTGCAGCGCTTTCAGAGCCAGTAGGAACCCCCTTTCCAATACCTGGGGGATGGAGCTGCCCGAGGAATAAGGAAGAACCCTTCGGAAGGCTCCGCAGACTGAAGAGGCCCATGGATAGTAAAGAAACCATCCTGCCTATCCAACAGGCTGGCGCTGCCTCAGGGACCCAAGCCGCCTCGTTGTCGCTGGAATCACCCCCAAAGGCATTTCCCCGTTTTTAGTCCTTAGCCTCTCCAGCTTCCCCTCCCATCTCTGCACTGGGCACTAACAGCCCCCGGGCCTCCCGGCTCAAACCCCCCCCCCCCCTCCCAGCTCCCAGGCCGGTGGGCAGCCTCGCTCCCCGCAGCGTTCTTTTCCCGGGTCTTTCATTAAAAGGAAAACACGTTGAGCTCAGAGTTGTCTTTCCGGGAAGCAGTGATGGAAAGGCTCGTGGGCAAGACCCAGCCACAATGAAGTCGGGCTGGGTCCCCAAAAGTCAAGGAGTCATGCTCTGGGCGAGAAGTCTGCCCCCCAAGTCCAGCGTTCCTCGCCCGGCACCGGGCAGCCCCCGCGTCCCACCGTCACGCCAGCGGGGCGAGCTTCCGCCTCCGCGACCCCGGGACCCTGCCCTCCACACCGCTGCCTCCTCAGGGGCTTCCCGGCACGGAGTCCACCCGCCAGCGCCCCAGCCGCAGCCCCACTGCGGCACCGGTCCCCGCCGCGACCCTCTTCCCTTAACTGGGAGCCCCGCCCCGTGCGCAGTGACGTCGGACGCCGCTGTCAGCCGGCGCTGGGGGGGGTCGGTGTGGGGTAGAATGGCCGCTGCCGCCGTCACCTGCGGGACCCCGGGAGGTAAGAGCCAGGGCCTCTGGCCCGCCGCCCCGCCCCCGCGCCAGGGGGCGCAGCTCTACCGGCCCCGCCGCGGCGCCGCGCGGAGACCACCGCCCTCCTCCGGCCGCTCCTGCCCGCTTCCGTCCTCCTCCCCCGCGCCGGGAGCCGCTCCGCCCAGGGCCCCACCGCCGACCTGCGCGCGGGGACTGCCTAGGGGACCCCCGGACCCCCACGGCCCCTCGGGCGCCGCGCGCCCGCGGACTCTGCTCCGCAGCTTCCCCAGAACATCCCTCCCTCCCTGCGGACTGGAGGCAGGACCCTCCCAGCTCCGAGCTTCTCTGGGGACCACCGCCCCCCGCGGGGGGCCGCCCTGGGCCCGCCCCGCACCCTAGTAGGCGGCCTCGCCCGGACTGTGCACCTGCGCCCTGGGCGGAGTCCTCACCCCAACCCACGCAGCCGAGCTCGGAGGGGCCTCCTCCCCCTCTTCATCCTCGGACACCTGGCGGAGCCCGCACTGACAGCCTCCTCCAGCTCCATCTGTTCCCCCCGGGAGGGTGGGGGCTCGGGCTGGAGCGGGGTGTAGATGGTGTAGGGTCCGCTGGAGGCCGGGGCAGCAGAGGCTTCTGGGGAGGGTGGGGAGAGAGGTGGGTGAAGGGTGGAGAGGGCTGTCAGCCTCTGGATTGTCCTGAGTGTGGAAGCTGGGTCGTGGGTGAATATCCCAGGTTGTCCTAGGCCTTGACCATCCTGGACCAGAGCGAGAGGTGAGGAAAGGTTGGCAGATCTGTCTTTCCTCTTGGAAAAATCAAATAGAGAAGGGACTCAGGGTGTGTCTTCTAAGGCCTCGCTCTCCACTGGACTTAGATCTCCTGCCCAACGCCCAACCCCCAGCATCCAGGCTCTCATTTGCCAAACCATTCTCCAAGGACCGGATGCCCTGAGTCCCAGTCCCCAGGACCTGACCCCGCCAAAGCCCCAGCCTCCTCCAGAGCCTACGCTGTAGGACGCCAGTCCCGGCGGTGTCTCCCCTCCCCCACCCTCCCCCACTCCACCCTGATTACTGACTCTTCCTGATTACTCTTCTGTCGTGGGCCCCGCTCACGTTGGTTCCTGGCACCAGGTCTGGGCTCTCCCCCTCCCCCATTCTCACATCAGAGCCTATCCCCTTCCTTCCTCTCTTCCTCTTCTCTCCCATGGCCCAGTTCTGCGCTGCCTCTCCCACCTCATCCTGGATAAGTGTGAGGGCTTCGGCCATGACCTGTTCTCTCTTATCCCAGCACAGACTCCCCCTCCCCCCGGCCCCTCCGGCCAGGGGTGACCTTGCCCCTGGAGCCCTCACCATGAGTACCAAGGACACCACCGAGGTTGCTGGTGAGTCGACAATCCAGGTTCCCACTTGGGACACAACCTCCCTCCCTCCGGGCCCTGTGGTGCCTGTGGTTCTCGGACTGCCTGCTGTCCAGTCCCCCCAGTGCTCTGGAGTCAGCCCTTTGCCCTGGGCCCGCACCCTGAGCCCTCCTTTCTAATTTCCTCCAGAGAACAGCCACCACCTGAAGATCTTCCTCCCGAAGAAGCTGTTGGAGTGTCTTCCTCGATGTTCACTGCTGCCTCCAGAGCGGCTGCGGTGGAATACGAATGAGGTTTCCTAGGGAGCTTGGGGGATGGGGCGTAGCAAGGCCTGGTGAGAGGGAATGAGGGTCTCCCAAGTGCAGAGCACTGTTCCCTGCTCTCTGGGCGTCCCAGGGGCGGTATAAAGACCTGCATCTTGTAGGAACTCACTTCTTGGCATGGCCACCTGAGTAAGAATAATAGCTACCATCTCTACAGTGTTTCTTACAAACCGGGTACGGCGTCAAGCACTTGACCTCCACTATCTCGTGCTGCAGCTCTGATGATGCTATCTCTAGAGCAAGCACGGTTATCCCCATGGTACGCATGAGGAAATGACTTACCCCATGTGCTTTTCTGACTCGCTCCAGAGCCCCTCTTTTTTTTTTTTCTTAATATATTTTAAATATATTACATTTTTAATATATTTAACATATATTTTAATATATTGATTTTGTACAGAGAGGAAGGGAGAGAGATCGAGAGTTAGAAACATCGATGAGAGAGAGTCATCGACCAGCTGCCTCCTGCACACCCCCTACTGGGGATGTGCCCGCAACCAAGGTACATGCCCTTGACCGGAATCGAACCCGGGACCTTTCAGTCCCCAAGCCGACGCTCTATCCATTAAGCCAAACCGGTCCCGGCGATATTTTTAATATATTTTTTGCAGAGAGGAAGGGAGAGAGATAGAGAGATAGAAATGTCGATGAGAGAGAAACATTGCCTCTTGCACACCCCCTACCGAGGATGTGCCCGCAACCAAGGTACATGCCCTTGATCGGAATCGAACCCGGGACCTTTCAGTCCGCAGACCGACGCTCTACCACTGAACCAAACCGGTTTCGGCCAGAGCTCCTCTTTTAACCACCACTTATACTTGCTCCTTCTGGAGGGCACGTCCTGTGTTACACACCTTCTGTGCTCCCTCCGCCCAGTGCTTTGCATGTACTTGGTGGTTGATCATTATTGATTTGATTATTGAACTAGAAGAGGACTGTCAGTCAAAAGGGGTCTGTGTGTGTGTGTGTGTGTGTGTGTGTGTGTGTGTGTGTGTGAGATAGGGCTAGAGAGGTCAGCAGCACTTCATGGAGCTCTGGGAAGGGATTTGGTCTAGGAATGGCTAGGATTTCCCGACTCAGAGAGATGTGTACATGGCACTTCAGACTTGTACAGCACTAACACTGAGAATATTGCTGCTCAGCTCCAGTTCAGGGAAGAATCAGTGGTTCAGTCTGGCAGGAATGGTAGGTGCAGTGGTAGGTGAATGTAGGAGCGATGGTTTGATCCCTAGTCAGGGAGAACCTTGGAGTCAGGCTGAAGAATCTGGAATTCCTGGTGAAGTTTTCTGAGTCAGGAAGTGGCACAAAAGTGGAATTTGGAGAGTAAAATAATGATGAACAAAGAATGACGAAGAGCTTGGGTCTGGCCCCAAGGTAAAAGCCCCAGATGGAGGGGAGGGAGGGAGTCAGGCTGATGGAATTCCAGAGGTTAGACTTTGGTTTGCGATGGAACCTGGGATTCTTAGAAGGGCATGAGCCTTGCTGGGTCCAGAGAGCTGGCAGCATCCTCCATTAGCTGCCAGAATTCAGTAGAGAGAGACCCTGAGGGGTGGCCAAGAGGCCAGTCTGAGACTGGTTGCAGGGGACACCCACCTGAGCTCCTCCTCTTCCACAGGAGATTGCATCCTACTTGATCACCTTTGAGAAGCATGAGGAGTGGCTGTCCTGTGCCCCAAAGACAAGGTGAGAAAGTTCGTGAAGGTGGCGAGTGGCAGGGGTCCTGGGTTTTGTTCATGGAACTCAAGGCCAACCCTACTACCGCCTTCAGGCCTCAGAATGGCTCCATCATCCTCTACAACCGCAAGAAGGTGAAATACCGGAAGGATGGCTACCTCTGGAAGAAGCGGAAGGATGGGAAGACCACCCGAGAGGACCACATGAAGCTGAAGGTCCAGGGCATGGAGGTAAGCGAGGCATCCTGCTCACCTGCCGTGGCCGCCCTTCTCAGCCCTTAGCTGGGTTCCAGCCCTGTCAGGACTTGGGACCATTGTCTGCCTCGCCACCCTCCCTTCTCACTTGCTTTGCATCAACTGGCTGATAGCCCTCCCTCCACACCCCATTTCCCTCCACATCCCAGCTCTGCAGCCCTTAGGGTGTGCCTCCCCTGGAGGACACCAATGCCCAGCCCCCTCACCTCACTTGCATTTCCCTCGGGGGTCCAAGCACAGGTTTATCTTCCCCAAATCATTGCTCCTCATCTCAGTTGTGTTCTTGCCCCGCCCTCGGATTTCCAGATAGTCCTTTATCTCAAATGTGATCCTCATCCTGAGGCCCGGACCCGCAGTGTGCCCTCCTCCTGCCTCTCACCCATGACTGGGGGGGGTGGGTGGCTGGGGTTTTGAAGGGGGGGGAAGGGGGGGGTGGGTCGGGGTGAAGAGGAACTGGTGGGAAGACTGGGATTCCTGCAAAGGGACTGAACAGAGGAAGAGTTGGGGAGCAGACTAGCCCTCCCCCCACCCCAGCCTGTCTCCTGGCAGTGTCTCTATGGCTGCTACGTTCACTCTTCCATCGTCCCCACATTCCACCGGCGCTGCTACTGGCTGCTCCAGGTAAGGACGGGAGCGGGAGCCCTCAGGGAGGCACCCTCTTCCTGGCTCTTTGAGGGACATGGAGTCTGGAAGGATGCAGTGAAGGGTGGCTAGTTCTGAGCGGGTAAAGGGGCTTGGGTGGCGGGGAGTTTGGGATAGAGAGAACCAGAACTTGGGGATGGAGTGGAGGGTTCTGGGGGGGGGGGGGGGGGAGTGGAGACCAGGAAGCCCTTGGATCTCAGGGCCCTATCGTGCTCTGCGTGTGTGCCCTGTGCCCTCAGAACCCGGACATCGTCCTTGTGCATTACCTGAACGTCCCCGCCCTGGAGGATTGTGGAAAGGGCTGCAGCCCCATCTTCTGTTCCATCAGCAGCGACCGGCGAGAGTGGCTCAAGTGGTCCCGGGAGGAGCTGTTGGGACAGCTGAAGCCCATGTGTAAGGCAGCAGGGCTAGGATGGTGCTCCCAGGAGGCGGGAAACAGGGCCCTCCCAGAGGCACCAGGAGCCTGTGGGGTGACCATGTCCGTCTAAGGCAGAGGGAGCTTTCCTGCGGGGGTGCTAGGCCTCCTGGCGAGTTCTCACATGGAGAAGGGACAGCTGTGAACTACAGATGCAAGCAGTCTCGAGGCTGCTGGCCTGTGCCCTTGGCCAGAAGTCTTGGAGCATCTCAGGTGCTTGAAGGAGCCGAGGGACTTTTGTGGGGGTCCCATAGCACTTCCCCCCACCTCTCCCCTAGTTCATGGCATCAAGTGGAGCTGTGGGAACGGGACGGAGGAGTTCTCTGTAGAGCAGCTGGTGCAGCAGATCCTGGACACCCACCCGACCAAGCCTGCACCACGAACCCATGCCTGTCTCTGCAGTGGGGGCCTTGGTGAGTGACCCCGACTTTGGAGCTCTCGCCCTGACTGGTCACACTGCACTTAAGCCAGGGGGGTATCTATCTTGCTGGGATTTGCATGCCTTCCCATCTGGGCGTGCACTGACCCCGGCTCCTTTTTCTTGAGACTTGGCAGCCCAGCTTTTTTCTGCCTTCTACTCCTAACAACTCCTTCCACCCCAGCACTACCACTTAGACCCAGCCTTAGCTTTTCTCCTAATTGGTACCCCCGTAGTTCTGTTCTTTTGTCCTTTTTTTTATGGTTTTACCTATTTTTCTCACCTTTCCTCCAAGCCCTCTGTCCCCGCCTCTCCCGCTCTAAGCTCCTTCAGTCCTGTTTAACATGAGGAAGGAGGAGTATTTCTGCTGCCCCGCAGTGGCCATAATCAGTATTACAGCTCTAGTATATAGCGGAGTCCCAGCCACTGCATGAAGGGGTGGGGAAAGGTGGGGGTGGGTCGGGGTGAAGAGGAATTTGTGGGAAGATTGGGATTCCTGCAAAGGGACTGCACCGAGGAAGAGTTGGGGAGCAGACTAGCCCTGGCCCCACCCCAGCCTGGGGATGATGGAGAAAGATGTGTCCCATCCCTTCTCTCTTCCCTGCCACTTTCCATTCCAGGTTCCGGGAGCCTTACGCACAAATGCAGCAGCACAAAACACCGCATCATCTCTCCCAAAGTGGAGCCCCGCGCTTTAACCCTGACCTCCATCCCCCATCCCCACCCCCCTGAGCCCCCTCCACTGACAGCCCCACTTCCCCCAGAGCTCCCCAAGGCACATACCTCCCCGTCTTCTTCCTCCTCTTCCTCCTCTTCCTCGGGCTTTGCAGAACCCCTAGAGATCAGACCTAGCCCTCCCACCTCTCGAGGGGGGTCGTCGAGGGGAGGCACGGCTATCCTCCTCCTGACAGGACTGGAGCAGCGTCCTGGGGGCTTGACGCCCACCAGGCACTTGGCTCCCCAGGCTGACCCGCACCCGCCCATGAGCTTGGCAGTGGTTGTCGGCTCGGAGCCCTCTGCCCCACCAGCTCCTCCCAGCCCTGCCTTTGACCCTGATCGTTTTCTCAACAGCCCCCAGAGGGGCCAGACATATGGAGGGGGGCAGGGGGTGAGCCCAGACTTCCCGGAGGCAGAGGCTGCCCATCCGCCCTGTCCTGCCCTAGAGCCTGCTGCTGCCCTGGAGCCCCAGGCAGCTGCTCGGGGTCCCCCTCCACCATCAGTAGGGGGCGGTAGAAGAGGAAACTGCTTCTTCATTCAAGATGATGACAGTGGAGAGGACCTTAAGGTCCAGGGGCCTGCCCCACCCATACCTTCCCCCCCTCCTTCGCCACCCCCCTCACCTGCCCCCTCGGAGCCATCGGGCAGGGTAGGCAGAGGGGAGGCCTTGTTTGGAGGAGCCAGTGGGGCCGGCGAGCTGGAGCCCTTCAGTCTTTCGTCATTCCCAGACCTTATGGGAGAGCTCATCAGCGAGGAAGCTCCAGGCATCCCTGCCCCAAACCCCCAGCTCTCACCTGCTCTCAGCACCATCACCGACTTCTCCCCAGAGTGGTCCTACCCAGAGGTGAGTCTCTCATGCCCGTCCCTCTTACCCCATGGTATGGGGCCTGGTTGCCATGGCTGCTTAGTCTTCCCAACCTCTATTTTTCCACAGTGTGGCTTCTTTCCTGTTTCCATAGTCCTCCTGACTCACCCTTCTCCCTCCCTTCCCATCCCACGTGGTGGTGTGAGTCCCCAGGTGCCCAGGGACTCATTCCCTTGGTGACGTTCACAGGGAGGGGCTTGGGGCCCCTTAGTGCGGAGAAGAGAAGACATAGTGGGGATGTGATTGTAGACTGTGGGAAGCTAAAAGACTGTGTCTTCATTAGTAGGGAAGTTCTGCTTTATGCTGTCCTAATGAGGGGAAGGAGGAACTACAGTCGGGGCCTAAAAAAAGGACTTCCTCCTGATGACAGCTATCTGCAAATGAGTCAGGAGCCTTGGGTGAGGCTAGCAGGCTCAGGAGGAGGGCAGGGACATTGGGGAGGAGGGACAGACTAGGTGATCTTGCCCCAGGGGGTCCTGTCCAGTCCCTGTACCCCCAGACTCTAGCACAGGGCCTGAGAGTCTACATTAATGAGTGAGTGAGTGAGTGAGTGAACACCAACAGAGCTCTAGCCACAGGGCCCTCTGACTTCTGTCCGCAGGGTGGGGTCAAGGTGCTCATCACGGGTCCTTGGACGGAGGCCTCCGAGCATTACTCCTGTGTCTTCGATCACATCGCAGTGCCAGCATCACTTGTCCAGCCTGGTGTCTTACGCTGCTACTGTCCCGGTATGGGGATGGGGTCTAGTGGGGGGAGGACTAGCTATTGGCATTTAGGACTTCTGGAAGCACTGGGGGCAAGCGTGTTGAGTTGTTCCTGAGAGCACACAGCATTCAGTCCTGAGGCTGAGTCCCACATCCTCCAGCAGGCAAATGAGTCTGGGCTCAGGTGTCAGAAGGTCTGGTTTCTGGTCCAAGAAACTTGCGCCTTCCTGGACTTGTGACCTCAGATACGTCTGCTCTTTTCCCTGGTCCTTGGCCTCCCCTCCTGCAAGGTCAGGGAGTCTCTGATGTCTGTTCCGGCCTTAGAGCCAGAGTCTAGCTCTTGGAAGAATGAAAAGGGAGAGATGTTGGTCGTCTCCGATCGAAGGACATTGGCTTCCATCTAATACAGTAACCGTTAGCCACCTGTGCCCGTTGCAATCAGTGAAAACTAAGTAAAATTTAAAATTCAGTTCCTCAGGCACACTACCCACATTCTGAGTGGTCAGTAGCCACCTGGCCAGTGCTGCCCTATTGAGCAGTGCAGGTAAGCACTTCCATTATTGGGCAATTTTTGAAAATATATATTTTATTGATTTTTTTACAGAGAGGAAGGGAGAGGGATAGAGAGCTAGAAATGTCGATGAGAGAGAAACATCGACCAGCTGCCTCCTGCACACCCCATACCAGGGATGTGCCCGCAACTAATGTACATGCCCTTGACTGGAAATGAACCTGGGACCCTTCAGTCTGCAGACCAATGCTCTATCCACTGAGCCAAACCGGTTTCGGTTGGGGAATGTTTTGTTAGGCAGTGCTGGTCTGGACATCACTGCCAGAACAACCTCTAGTCTCTGCCCTTTAGCCACCACCCCTGCCCCCGACCCTGCACTCAGCAGTCAGCCAGCCTCACTGTGAACCCCAAAGGCTCCCCAGTGGCACGGTGGCAGCTTTGTCATCGATGTGTGAGTTCTCCCCCATCTCAGCAGCCCTGTTCAGTGGTGCACAGGTGGTGCGTCAGGGACCAGGGCCTGATGGCTCCCTTTCCAAGGCCATAGCGGGGACATCGCTCTCACTAGACACCGTTGGTGAGCAGCCAGCTCTCCTTCCTCCCATCTTAGCCATGACGTCTGGACACTGGTTTTGGGAGACCAGGGGGTTTACACTCCATCAAATTACTTATAAGTATGGGTGTCTCTTGGCCCTCGGCTCCCAGGCCTTGGTGCCGAATAACAAACATCCTTAACTACAGGATCCAGAGTCCAAGGGGTCGCTGGCCCATAGCAGGTATGGAGTTCTCAAAGGAAAGGAATCCCTTCCCAGTTAGTGCCAAGGCCCCCCCCCCCCAAGCCAGCAGCGGAAAACTCACTGTGAAATGACCGTCCGTGGCTCCAACACGGAGGGCCAGAGAAGGCGCTGGGGGGAGAGAGTCCCTCTCACTGACCTTGCCCTCCCCAGCCCATGAGGTAGGGCTGGTGTCTTTGCAGGTGGCCGGGCGGGAGGGACCCCTTTCTGCCTCTGTGCTCTTTGAGTATCGAGCCCGCCGATTCCTGTCCCTGCCTAGTACTCAGCTCGACTGGCTGTCACTAGATGGTAAGTAGCGAGGCCTCTGATCCCCAGGGTCGGGCCCCACAGGCTTTGAGCATGACACTCCTAGACACCTCAGCACTCAGGGCCACCACCGAGCCCACGTGTACCGGCCTTTCTCGGCTCCCGCTTCACTGGCCGTTTCTAAATGCGGCCGCGGCTTTTCTCCCCTCCTTCCTTGTGCGTCTGGGGCCTGTTTGCCACAGTCTTGTCCTGCCTTCTCCGTCCCAAAGAGGCGGGAGCGGGGACAGGGCCTAGAGCAGTCTATATAGGATGTGCGAGTGTGTACATGCATATAGACCTGTATTGTTTTCTTCTCCATAAAGATAGGTATTTACTACAGGAAATTATAGAAAAGCACAACCTAAAAGTGAAAACTGCCGATACTACTACTCAGTAATATCTACCACTTTAATAGCATGTTGTACTTTCTCATACAAACACACGAAGTGCAAACATGCATGTGTATGTGTCTGTTTATTTTTTAAGTATATTTTTATTGGTTTCAGAGAGGGAAAGAGAGAGAGAAACATCAATGATGAGAATCATTCATTGGCTGCCTCCTGCATGCCCCACCTTGGGGATCGACCCTGCAATCTAGGCATGTGTCCTGGCTAGGAATTGAACCGTGACCTCCTGGTTCATATTTGATATGTATAGGTGTCTCGAATACATAGGTCGATGCTCAACCACTGAACCGTGCTGGCTGGGCTGTGTGTATTTGCTTAAATCCAGCACTGGCTTTGAGAAATTGTTTCCCTCCGCTCCTGCCTCTTTCTCAGGGTGTGCGCTTCTCTGTCTTCTCCTCTGGGTGTCTCTGTTGCCGCCTCCGGGTGCCTCAGTTCTGCGGTCACCCTGCCTTGTCTCCTGCCATGCCTGCTTGTCTCCCTCCGGCTCGTCCTGGCTCATCGCCCCGAGCGGCCCCTTCAGGGGGCTGTGTGTGGGTTGCCCCGCAGCCTACCATGGGATCTTGCCAGGCCTCCCGGGCCTGCTCTGTCTGTCCTGCGGTGACTGCCCCTCGCCTTCCTGTCCTGTCCCTGCCTAATCAGTTACGCCATCGCTCCCTCCCCCTATCATTTCTCCTTGGACCAGAGTCTTAACTTGTCCCTCTCCTTCACTTCCTTGTTGCTGTTTGGAACAGTCCCCAGCTTTCCTCCGTCCTCTCTCTCTCCTCTCTTCACCGTGTTTAGTCTTTCTGCTCTCTCTCTCCGCTCTGTTATACAAGGGTTTCTGCTCATCCTTCTCCACCTTCCTCCCCACCATCACTTCCGTGCCTCGGCCCCTTCTGCCTAGCATCTCAGCACATCCCTGACCTCCAGCCTGTTTCTTGATGCTTGTTTTTCCATGGCTCTGATCCCCTCCCGCCCCTCCTCCTTGTCCTTGTGTGATCTCAAGAGGGGACAGATATAGCTTTGGATGTGTGTGTGCGCGCGTGTGTATTTGTGCATGGGGTGAGGGGAGGAGGAGGAATGGACGGCTATCCATCTCTGTCACGTTCCCTCCCCACCATCCTCTTTGTGGACAGCTGTGGGGGGCCAGGAGGAAGGGGCGGTGCTTTTCAAATCACAGTTCCTGAGCTGTTTGGGGCTAACAGAGTCCTTCAGCCCCAGCATGGGGGACAGAGGTAGTGCCTGGGGAAGAGCTGACAGCGTTTCCCCATTCCCCCAAGGAGCAGGCTGTGAGGGAGTGTGTGTACGACCTGGAGCCGTTCGAGGCGGGATAATATGTGGGAATTCCTCCTGTGTCTGCCTCGAAGGACACAGTTGTGGTTCTGGATTCTGGTCCTGGGTCGATGAGTAGGGTTAAGAGCCCTAGCTTAAGGACCGAGTTTCAGAGGGGGGTGGGGAAAGGGGCTGTTGTTTTGGAGAAGAGGTAAGAATGTGATTCAGCGTCTTTACCTCCCAGACCCTGGGATAGGTTCAGTTCTGCATTAAGGGCATCGCCTAGACCCTGCCCATAGCCCCCATCCCCTTCCCCCTCAGACAACCAGTTCCGGATGTCCATACTGGAGCGGCTGGAGCAGATGGAGAAGCGGATGGCAGAGATCGCGGCAGCTGGACAGGCACCTGGCCAGGCTCCTGACGGGCCTCCGATGCAGGTACTTCCATGAGGGAGCCAGGGAGTGGAGGGAGGGTCTTCCTAAAGAAAATGGCTCTCACTCTCCCGTCCCCCACCGCCTCAGCCGGCCCTCCTGCCCAGCCCTGACGTCACCCTGCTCCCACCCCCGCCCTGTGGCAAGAGTGGCTATTCTGGGCACCCTCTTGGCATGACAGGCTTCAGACTATTTCTGGTCTGAAGACGGGTGGAGGTGAAGGAGAGGGTGGGGGAGGGGACCAGGAGGGTGGGGTCCAGTGCTCTGGGAGTCCTGGGTGTCTGAGGGAAGAAGACTGGGAGGATGAAGATTGGGAGAGGCATCTGTGGATGTGGCACTGATCTGAGCTGACGTGAAGGCACAGCACGGGCGGGGGGCTGTGAGATCTGGCTGCCAGAGGGTCTGCAGGAAGTTGGCTGTGGGAGTAGGGGACATCCAGGAACTTGAACTGGGAGAACTGACAGGCCTTCAGAGGTGTGTGTGGTGGGAACCTGGAGTGAGGAGTGTGGGAGGGCAGAGTTAGAAGTTGAGAGGCCAGGTATGGGATGGCCAAGGCCATCTCAAGCCAGAGGACCACATGCTCAGTTCTCTGCATAAGGTTGTGTGTATTGCAGGATGAAGGCCAGGGGCCCGGGTTCGAGGCTCGGGTAGTGGTCTTGGTGGAGAGCATGATCCCACGCTCCACCTGGAGGGGTCCTGAACGTCTGGCCCACGGAAGCCCCTTCCGGGGCATGAGCCTTCTGCACCTGGCCGCTGCCCAGGGCTACGCCCGCCTCATCGAGACCCTGAGCCAGTGGCGGTGAGCAAGGGCAGCAGGGCGGGGACTGGGCAGCCACTGGCACAGAAGTGTCAGGGGGCTGAAGCCTTGCTACGAGGGAGCTGGGGTCACTGGGAAGGAAGAGGGGCTAGAAGATGCGTGTTGGAAGAAATTTTAACATCTCCTGAGTTACAAGACTGACTTCCTGCCCTCCTCACATTTATTTATTTTTTCCATCACCATAGATTCTCTCTATGCCTGCTTCCACGGCCACCCCCCATCCTATAATTACCACACTGTTGTCCATGTCATGAATTTTCTTCATATATATATATATATATATATATATATATATTTCAGAGAGGAAGGGAGGAGAGAGAGATAGAAACATCAACGATGAGAGAAAACCACCGACTAGCTGCCTCCTACACACCCCCAATGGGGATTGAGCCCACAACCCAGGCATGTGGCCCTGGCTGGAATGGAACCCGGGATCCCTCAGTCCGCAGGCTGATGCTCTATCCACTGAGCCAAGCCAGCCAGGGCATGAGTTCTCTTTTTCCTTCTTTTTTGTTCAATCTCTCCACCCACCCCCAACAACGCCGCCCCCTCCCGCCCCCATCACATTTATTAATTTCTGACTGCCTCATCCCACTGACTGTAGTGCTTCTAGACAGCTGGCTTCCCAGGCCCTTCATTCCTATGTCCCCACTTTGCCTACTTTGTCCCTAACTGAGCTCTGCTGTCCCTCCCCAAACCCTCCAGAAGTGTGGAGACCGGAAGCTTGGACTTGGAGCAAGAGGTTGACCCGCTCAACGTGGATCACTTCTCTTGCACTCCCCTGGTGAGGACGCCGCGGTCCCTGTGCATGTGGGGCGGGGAGACGGGGAGGGGCTTTGCAGGGAAGACCTGCAGGAATGGGGAGGACAAGGGACTGAAGATGGGCCGCCTGGAGAAAGGGCCTCTGGCCTCACCTCCGCCTGTCTCCCCTCCTGTCCTTGCCCTGCCTCCCCCAACCCCCTTAGATGTGGGCATGTGCCCTGGGGCACCTGGAAGCTGCTGTGCTCCTTTTCCGCTGGAATCGCCAGGCGCTGAGCATCCCTGACTCGCTGGGCCGCCTGCCCCTGTCGGTGGCTCACTCCCGGGGCCATGTGCGCCTTGCCCGCTGCCTGGAGGAACTGCAGAGGCAGGAGGCTTCAGCTGAGCCCCCGCTTGCCCTGTCACCACCCTCCTCCAGTCCAGACACGGGTGAGGGCTACCCCTAATCTTTTTAAGGGGGCTGTGGGTGAGACAGTAGGCCAGGGAAACTGAAGCGTGGGAAACAGAAAGTGTGGGAGGGGGAAATGGAGGAGGAGGCAGGGAAGGGAGATAATACCAACAGGAACAGACAGACAGGGAGACGGACAGCAAAGACGGGGCAGGTGGGAGACTCAAGGGAAGGGAGATGGCCCTGCTGCCCTCACCCTCCTCCCTTACCTTCCAGGTCTGAGCAGTGTCTCCTCGCCCTCAGAGCTGTCCGATGGCACGTTTTCTGTCACATCAGCCTATTCTAGTGCCCCCGATGGAAGTCCTCCCCCAGCTCCTCTGCCAGCCTCTGAGATTATTATGGAGATGGCCCCAGGCCCGCTCTCCTCTGGTGCCCCAGAGGCCCCGCTGCTTCTCATGGACTATGAAGCCACCAACCCCAAAGGGCCCCCACCCTCACCACCTCCTCCCCCGCCAGCCCTGGATGCAGGGGCTGCTCCAGAGGAAGCTTACAGCCCCCCGGCTGTGGACGTGATCCCGGTACTGCTCACGTGATGGAATTATGAGGGCTAGAAAGAGGGGTGTGGGGGGTGGGAGAGGGGGGAGCCATCTAGTCCCTGAAACGGATGGAGTCTTGCTTCAGTTTGGGAAGCAGCGGCTATCTACCCTCCGTTTTGGACAAGCAAGGTCATCCTCTGCTTAACTTCTACCAGAGCTTGACTCAGAAGTCATGAGGCATCAGAGGCTAAAAATTCTGGGGAGAATCTTCAGTGAGAGGTGGATTGTAAGGGTTACCTGTTGATCCATGAAGAGACAAGCTTCCTGGGGAACCAGAGTGATGGAGGGGAAATTGGGAGGGTTGTGGGAGAGAGCTTGGAAGATGGAGGTACCTGGCAAGGACTTGGTGAGGAGGAAGCTTGTACATAGAGAAAGCTAAGGAACTTGTGGGGTAAATAAATGAGAGTAGCTCTTTAGGAATAGCAGCAAGAACCGGAGGACATGCGGGCTTTAGAGAGGCTGCTGGATCATCGAGGGCAGGGTAAGTACAGAAAACTTAGCGGTCCCACACGGTGGGCCGTGTTACACGTGGCCAGCAGGAAGTGCTGCGGGGTCAGGACTGGAGTGGAAGCCAGGCTGAAGCCATTCCGTGGGGCGTCGTGTGGTTGGCTGAGCTGGTTCTTGGAGAGCTGAAGGGAGTGGGGGTGGCAGGCGGGGCCAGACCTGTGGGAATGATGTGCTGGCATGGGCCCGGCCTGGGTAGGACAGTAAGCAGTCAGCCTGGGAGGCTAAGTCGTTCATTTGCTCAGCTTGACTCTCCATCTGGAGTATGTCCTTCCCACCCTGTTCTCCACAATGTCTCAACACAGGCGGAGGCCCGTAAGTACAAACGCATGAATGTGGAATAGGGGCTGAGAAAGGCGGGGCTAGAAAGGACAGCAATCCCTGATGCCTCATCTGGCGGTGAGAGGAGGAACAAGGCAGGAAGGGGACCGAGGCTACGGCTGTGTCAGGGCAGGAACACCTGGCAGTGGGGACCCCCCAAGGCTCACCCCGCTTCTCCATCCAGGTGGACATGATCTCACTGGCCAAGCAAATCATCGAAGCCACGCCAGAGCGGATCAAACGAGAGGGCTTTGTGGGGCTGCCTGAGGCGGCAGCCTCCCTGCGGGAGCGGACGGGGGCCCTGGGGCTCAGCGAGACCATGTCCTGGCTGGCCAGCTACCTGGAGAACGTGGACCACTTCCCCAGCGCCGCCCCTCCCAGGTGACCAGCTTAGGACAGAGCCTCCGGGCTCTTGTTCCAAGGGAGATGGGAAGGGGAAGGCGGCTTCCCCGCAACCCACGATCCATCCCGGCAGAGGCCCTGCAGGCCTTTGAGGGCCTTGAGACTGGCTGAGCTCTGAAGCATGCTCTCCAGGCTCCGTTGGTGGGGCTGTCCCTTCACAGCTACCCCTGGGCAAAGGGGGACTTCACATGCCCATGACTGCCTCTCTCTGCCCCCACAGCGAGCTGTCTTTTGAGCGGGGACGCCTGGCGGTCCCTCCAGCGCCTTCCTGGGCAGAGTTTCTCTCTGCATCTGCCAGTGGCAAGATGGAGAGTGACTTTGCCCTGCTGACACTATCGGATCACGAGCAGCGGGAACTGTATGAGGCAGCCCGAGTCATCCAGACGGCCTTCCGGAAGTACAAGGTCAGGAGGCCGGGAGGTCTCCGGGAAAGAATTACGCAATCTTTGAGTCAGGGCAGACTGTGGACTCCCAGGACTTTGGGAGGGAGAGCAGTCACCCAAAGTGGCCTTGGGCGGAAGGTCAGGGGACCTCAGGCCTCAGGCCAGGTGGAAGGACAGGTCACATGTCTGGGAGGTGGGCCTTTAGGTGCTGAGGCTTCCTGCTTTCCCCTCAGGGCCGGTGGCTGAAGGAGCAGCAGGAGGTAGCTGCGGCTGTCATCCAGCGCTGTTACCGGAAGTACAAGCAGGTGAGTCCCTTCCTCTAAAGCAGAACCAACCACACACCCTCATCCCAGCCCAGAGCATCCAGAGTGCTGCTGGAGCCCTGACTCCCCTTCTCTCTCCACAAGCTGACCTGGATTGCACTTAAGGTATTAGGCATGAGGTCCGGGTGTGAGGTTGTCTGTGGTGATTCAAGCCTTTCCACGAGCGTGTGGAGCAGGGAGAGAGAGACCTGCGCCAGCTGAACTCGGGGTGACCCTCAGGGGTTTGGTTTCTGTCCCTCCAATTCAGCCCGCCTCCTCTCCTCCCCGCTCCCACAGTTTGCTCTCTACAAGAAGATGACGCAGGCGGCCATCCTGATCCAGAGCAAGTTCCGAAGCTACTATGAGCAGAAGCGATTTCAGCAGAGCCGCCGGGCAGCTGTGCTCATCCAGCAGCACTACCGCTCCTACCGCCGCCGGCCCACGGGCAGCCTGCCGCCCCGCAACAAGTAGGGGCCCGGCCCCAGCCTCCGTGCCTGCCCACCACCCCCATGCCCACGGCCCTTAGACCCCCAACTTCCAGCCCTTCCTTCTGCCCTAGCCCTTCCTTGCGAGGGTCCCAAAGGGCTGAGGACGGGGGATGCCTGAGTGTTGGGTGAGTTTTCCTCATCTTTTCTTCCTTCTGCCAGAGGCTCCTTTCTCACCAAAAAGCAGGACCAGGCAGCCCGGAAAATCATGAGATTCCTGCGGCGCTGCCGACACAGGTACCCATCCTTCCTCCTGCTGGATGATTTTGCTCAGCCACCTCCCTCAGCCCACCTCCCCAGATCTGCTGGCCTCCTCTGACTCCTTCCTTGTTTCTCTGCAGGATGAGGGAGCTGAAGCAGAGGCAGGAGCTGGAAGGGCTTCCCCAACCTGGACTGGCCACCTGACCTCTCTCCCCACTCTGAGGCCGCTCCCCGCCGTCTTAAGGGAGAGGGCTCTGGGGGAGGAGCCCCCTGTCGGCAGCTTTCCCCGTCACTCGGTTTGGAGATCTTCCGAGGTCTCTACCCGCCTCCCCCCTCCAAAGTGCTGAACTCCCTCCCCCACCCCAGCTCCTCTTCCCGCTGGGCCGTGCCCCCTCTTTTGGCCCCTGGCTCCAGAAGACCCACACCCCACACGCCCGGATCTTCGGCTGAGAGCTCCGGAGCCCTGCCTGCCCCTTGTCCACAGCTGCCCCCTGGCCTGCACCCGCCTCCCCCTCCCCCGGATTGCCTTATTTATTTGTTGGATGCGTCTCTGAATGTATCGGCCTGGCCCCACCTGCCTTCGCCGCGCTCGCCCCTCGTGTTTCAGGGCCCACCGTGCCCCACCGACTCCGCATGTCTGCGTCCGCTTCCTCCCCTTCTGGCCCCGTCTCCCCCGTCACTCCGGCCTGGCCACCACCTCCGGGGCCGAAGGGGAGACTGTATATAGGAGCTCGCTGCGGAGTCCACCCCATCCCATCCCTGACGGGAGGGGTTTGTAAATATGTAACATACAGAGTATAGTGAAGAGTCTATTTAAGGCGCCGCGGCGGGGAGGGCTGCGTGGCCGGGCTGCGGCTCCCAGACGCTGTAGGGGCCTCCGCCGGCCCCACGAGCACTTTCTACTTGTGCATGGGCTTAGTTCCTGAGATGCCATTAAACATCGCTGCACCAGCCGGCCTCCGACTTCTGTCTAAGGCGGGGGAGGGGGACCGGGGCGGGGCCTCGGCGGGAGAGGCGGCCGCGCGCCCGGCCGGTTCAGCGCCTGGGCGGGGCCGGTGCGAGGTTTCCCACCGCCGACGTGTTTCCGGCCTTAAAGGCATTTCGTCCTTCCCTTTAAGACGCACCGCCCCGTCTCTGTCACTCCCAAGATGGCGGACCTACTGGGCTCCATCCTGAGCTCCATGGAAAAGCCACCCAGCCTCAGTGACCAGGAGACTCGGCGCAGGGCCCGAGGTGAGGACCCCAAATTCACATCTACTTTTCCTCATTCGGTCCTCAGGACCGCGTTCTTCCTCCTTTAGGCGGTGCCGCCTCTTCAACCTTGAAAACCCCCTCAAAGGCCCCTTCATAGGCCCCCCAGAGTCCCTACAAGGGCTGCTGACCCGCCCGCTGTTCTCAGCGGACGGTGATTGGCTGCCCGAAGCCTAGCGCCGGCCTCCTGCCTCTCGCCTGGCCTCGCAGTCCTTGTTTTCTATTCGCCAACAGGCCCGCTTGTCCGCTGCTGGCGTGCTCTGATTGGTAGATTGCCTCCGACCCACCCAACTCGGGTGCTCCTTGGCCCGCCTTCGGGTCGCAGGAGGGCGTGTTCGGTCACTCAGCCCCGCCCAACTCCGGGCCGGAGTGTCCCACGACCCATTCCCATTCTGATTGGGTCCAGGACACGCCCATCCGCAATCCTTTCACCTCTATTGGCCATCTTCAATGTCTGCCTATTAAAGACCTTCCTCTGGCCCACCCACCCACCTCAAGCTCCTCCAATTGGTGGATGGGTCCTTTCGCTGACCTATGCCCCGCCTACTTGATTTAACATCTTTCGAACCCTTCCTGTCTGTAGCCTTACTTTCCCCGGTTCTCCGAGTGGGTCGTGATGTTGATTGGAGAGGAAATGCCTCTGCCGGGTCCGATTGGCTGTAGGCTCCCACTTGCGTTCTCTGAGTAACTTCCCTGCAGGCGGGCTCAGGAGTTCGCCTGCCAGCGAAGGGCGCGGTCCGCCCGGCCGTGCAGCCTTCCCCTGGGTTGCTCGCGCTGTGGCGCGTGAAGCAGTCAGACTGAATGTGGCTTGGGAAGGCCCCCATCCCCCAACCCTGCAGGCCTGGAGACCACAGACTAGCCCCGGCCCGGCCCCTGGCTTCCCACCCACCCGAGGGGCCAGGGCAAGCTGCATGCCTTCAGTGCGCTCAAGTGCTGCTTAATATCGAAATACCTATTATTTACTAAACGGTTGCTAGGAGCCGGGGTACCCTCAGAAGCCCACAGTCTGAAAGCATTGATGAAATGCACGTTGATTAAAACGATCACATAGAAGTTTAATAATCAGCTTGATAAGTACTCTGGAAGAAAAATAGTTCTGAGAGCTACTACCTAGGGGTCTTTAACCTAGTCTGTGGTGGCCTGAGATCTGAAGTGAAGGGTAGATAATCCAGTGAGTAAGGCGGGGAGCAGTGTTACAGGCAAATGTGTGTTTGAAAGCTCTGAGGAAGGAGGGAGTATAATGGGAGCCGGCAGTTGGAATTAGTTCGTGTTCTACCTGGGAAGACAAAGTTGAGAGTTTAATCACTTGCCTGAGGTCGCCAGGTTACTAAGTGGCAGGGTTTTAAATCCAGGTGTGGCTTTTAAGCCTATGACCTGAACGATCATCCTATGCCCTCTCAGATACAGAGAGAACTCAAACCAGTTATCGAACACTCAGTGGCCACTGATGGTCAGAGCCCTTGATGTCAGGGGCCACAGAGGATAGGAGGTGAACAGGGTCCCTGCGTCTTCGGAGCTTACAGGATGGCAGGGGAGACAAAGTTACATTATATTGGCTCTCAACACATGCTGTAGTGGATGTCCGAGCCGAATGTGTGTGGGCCCCAGAGGAAGAAGTAACTCTGACTCATGGTGAAGCTCAAAGTTTGCAAGAGAAGGAAAAGCATTTCAAGCAGAAGGAACAACATGTGCAAAGGCATGGAGTGATTAGGAAAATGGGAAGAGGTCGGTGCAGCTAGAGCTAGTTGGATCCTGTGGAAGAAATGGGCCTTAAGGATATAAAGGATTTAAAATGACAAAAGAGAGGAGAGGGAACATAAGATGTAAGGATGGGAAGTTTCTCTACAAATGGCTTTGAATACCTACACTCTCAAAGGAGAACGGTGTCAGATTAGTCATTTCAGTTTCATCTTGTTTGTAGAAGTGAGAAGTTGTGGGGAGGAGGGGCGTAGGAAGGGGTTACAAAATATAGGTAGGAAGTTAAATAATTTCCTCTTTCCCATGTAGACAATGAGATGAACTCTTTACGGACAGGGCCTTAGTCTGGTCTCCTTACCTCCGAAGGTGCCTTATAGTTCTTTGTATATTGTGGGTAGTAAATGTTTGTTAATTGGTTTCCCCTGTGAGATTGGGAAGTGCGGTTAAGCATAGTTCTAATCTTTGCTGCTACTCCTAAACTGATCTCTTGAAGGGCAAAGCTGTGTCTTACAGATCTTGGTGCTCCAGGGCCTAGTACAGTGCCAGGTTAAAAAATCGGTAAATGCTTGGTGAATGAACAGTAGCCCTCCCTTCCCAGCCCAATACCTCCCAGTGGACACCAGACCTCCTTTGAAACCTTACAACCCTCCCCACCCATGCTTCTGCCCTGGCCTCATACTGCCATTTCTCACCCCCAGAGCAGGCTGCCCGCCTGAAGAAACTACAGGAGCAAGACAAACAACAGAAAGTGGAGTTTCGTAAAAGGGTGAGAACAACTGGAGAGATCAAGGCAGCCTCAGGAAGGATTTCCAATGAGTTAGAATTAGAACTCGGTGATTTTGAAAATGTCTCAGGAGCGGTGAAGCCTGGAAGCCGAAGGCATGGAGGCTGGGTTAGGTGTGGGGAGGCAAAGGCCTATTGGCCCAGCTAGGAAGAGGGATACTGGGGCAGAGCCTTCATCTCATATGTTCTCCCCGTTTCCCTCTCCCAAGATGGAGAAAGAGGTATCCGATTTCATCCAAGACAGTGGGCAGATCAAGAAAAAGTTTCAGCCGATGAACAAGATAGAGAGAAGCATACTGTGAGTGCCTTGGGCTGGGGAGGCAGGAAGCGGGTGGCCAGGCTGGCATGGAAGGTCCAGGGTGGAAATCCACAAGAGGAGGGTGCTAGGCCCCTCGTGGCTCTACATACTCTTTCCTCGGTCCTCCCTCCCCTCCCAGACACGATGTGGTGGAAGTGGCTGGCTTGACATCCTTCTCCTTTGGAGAAGATGATGAATGTCGCTATGTCATGATCTTCAAAAAGGTAAAAGGCCTGGGTTCCCCACTCGCTCCCTTTCAGCCTGTGCCCCCTTGGGGGAGAGAAATGAGATGAAACATGTACATGGAGCCTTGAGCCCATGATCCCTCCTTCCCCAGGAGTTTGCACCCTCAGATGAAGAGCTGGACTCCTACCGTCGTGGAGAGGAGTGGGACCCCCAGAAGGCGGAGGAGAAACGGAAGCTGAAGGTGAGTTATGCCTAGCAGTCCCTGGAGCCCACCACCTGGAGGCGTTGGGGTCAGACCCCTGAGCACCAGGGCCCCACTTCTGCACCCCTAGGAGCTGGCCCAGCGGCAGGAGGAGGAGGCAGCTCAGCAGGGACCCGTGGTAGTGAGCCCCACCAGTGACTACAAGGACAAGTACAGCCACCTCATTGGCAAGGGGGCAGCCAAGGATGCAGCCCATATGCTTCAGGCCAACAAGACCTATGGCTGTGGTGAGGCCACAGTGGGAGCTGGGGAGGGAAGGGGAGGGCAGGCTAAGGCACCGGGATCCTAGGCCCTCCCCACCCTTTCCTCTGCCCCTAGTGCCCGTGGCCAACAAGAGGGACACACGCTCCATTGAAGAGGCCATGAATGAGATCCGAGCCAAGAAGCGTCTGCGGCAGAGTGGGGAGGAGTTGCCCCCTACCTCCTAGGCACCCCGGCTCTCTGGGGCAGGGCAGGGAGGGACAGGCTGCTGCTATTCCAACCCATTCTGGAGCCCCACCTCTGAACCACCTGCTAACAGCCATCACTTAGGCTGGAGGAAGCAGGTGTTTGATTCGTCACTGTTAAGAGTTTGGATATGTATGTGGTGTGTGTGTGTGTGTGTGTGTGTGTGTGTGTGTGTGTGTGTGTGTGTGAGAGAGAGAGAGAGAGAGAGAGAGAGAGAGAGAGAGAGAGAGAATGAATGCACAGGTGGGTATTTAATCTGTATTATTCTGTTCTTGGAACTTTCTTCCCCATGGGGCTGGGGTTACTTTACATTCAATAAACACTGTTTGAACCACTGTCTCAGTTTGTTTAACCAGAACAAGAGGTGGGTCCTGGAGCGGAAGAGAAGTGATTTTGGCTTGAGCAGGATAAAACTGTTGTTTGTGTAAGCCAAGGATAGCCAAATATTAGCCCTTTTATAAGAGGAGTATTTTAAGAGTACAATTGCTAGGGCGAGAGGGCCTAATTTTGGATACAGGCTGTACCAGTTACTGTTTCCTTGGGTAGGGTATTTGACTTTTTTGTGCCTCGGTTTCCTCATCCATAAAATGGGATAATAATGGTAACTATCTGATAGGACTGTTTCAAAGATTACACAAGTCGCCCTAGCTGGTTTGGCTCAGTGGATAGAGCGTCGACCTATGGACTGAAGGGCCCCAAGTTTGATTCCGGCCAAGGGCACATGCCTGGGTTGCAGGCTTGGTTCCCAGTAGGGAGCGTGCAGGAGGCAGCCAAAGATTCTCATTGATATTTCTCTCCCCCCTCCCTTCCTCTCTGAAATCAATAAAAAAATATATAAAAAAATAAAAAAAAGATTACGCAAGTCAGTACGTGTCAGATATTGAGAGCAGCTGCACACCTTTGATCTCCATAAAAGTGATAGCTGCTCTGGGTTTTACGTCATCCTCACAAAGCACTGACACCACTCGCTGCAGGCTGGACTCCAACTTACTGGCAGGTCTGACCCAGCTTCCCCTCCTGATGATGTCAGGCCCTCGATCCCCCTTCTGGTTCTAGTTCCATGTTCTGTCAGTGCTTCCAGCTTCATTTCACACGTGCACCTGCTTCCCCGGCCTCCTTCACAATGTGAATTTGGGTGTTCTAGATCTAGCCCCAACTTCCTCCATGACCAGCCCCTCACTCCCGCTGTCACAGCAGGTGGTACATGTGTTCTCCCTTTCCTGCCCGTCCCCTGTCTTTTCCAGAGTCAAGCATCCCTCCCACAAAGGAGCACGCGGCCGTGTTGCTGGCGCCAGTGTTTATTTCAGGGAGAAGGGCTTGAAGGCCTCCATCTAGGGTCTGGAGCCCCAGCTTCTCACTTGGCCTTTGGGTTGCGGAATTTGCGTCCAGCAAAGACAGCCTTGTCCCCGAGTGCCTCCTCGATCCTACAAGGTAGACCAAGTCAGAGCTGCATCATTCCATCCCAACAGCCCTCAGCTCCCCACACTCAGCCCACTGCCCTCTGTACCTCATGAGCTGGTTGTATTTGGCCAGACGCTCTGAGCGGCAGGGGGCGCCAGTCTTGATCTGAGGAGGGAAGAGGGATTCCAAGGGTTGCAGGAGGCTAGAGAGGAGGGACTGGGCCTGGCCCTGAGGAAGTAGCCTGTGGTGCCATTCAACTCAGGGGCAAGAGGCCAGGGATTCCCCCCAAAATGTATTCTGACATGACAGAGGGGAGCCATGAGTACCTGTCCTGTGCAGAGCCCCACCACGAGGTCGGCAATGAACGTGTCTTCAGTCTCCCCAGAGCGGTGGCTCACCATCACTCCCCAGCCATTAGACTGAGCCAGTTTGCAGCTGGGTAGAGAGGACACTCCATAAGGCCCAGCCTAACGGGACCTCCTCAGTGGGAAAGCCAGGGCTGGATGGGGCTTTTCTGTTTTGGGTAGTGGGCACTTTGCAGGGAGGGTAATGACTAAAGTTATTTGGAAACTAGGAGAGAAGGGAAGATTCCTGATCTTGAACTGGGTTCCTGAGATGCTGGTAGGAAGAAGGGCAGAATCTTGTAGAAAAGAACGGTATTGGGTGGAGGTGGGGATAGCAGGTCACAATGGCAAAGCTCTTGGGGCCAGGCCAAGACTTAGTCAAAGCCTTGCTCAGTCAAAGCCTTGACTAGTGTGGCTCCATGGTTGAGTGTTGACCTATGAATCAGGAGGTTATGGTTCAATCCCAGGAGGGGCACATGCCTGAGTTTTGGGCTTGATCCCCAATGGAGGCGTGCAGGGGGCAGCCGATCAATGATTCTCTTTCATTACTTATATTTCTATCTCTTCCTCTCTGAAATCAATTAAAAAATATGTATTTTTTAAAGCTGGTCAAAGCCTTGAGGTCAGTCAAGAGAGTGGGGTGTGTCAGGAGCTAGGGGAAAGTAGAGTTGTAGTTTGAGGGCAGGACTGCAGTGGGAGGTGGCAGAACTGTGTGGAGGGAGGCCATGGTGCACCCCAGGGCAGGGAGGCACTCACGCCTGGATGGATTCTGTCACCGAGCCAATCTGGTTGACCTTCAGCAGCAAGCAGTTGCAAGCCTTCTTCTCCACGGCCTGGGCGATCCTCTTGGGATTGGTGACTGTGAGGTCATCTCCTACAATTTGTATGTCCACCCCCGAGAGGAACGCGCTCCAAGTGGCCCAGTCATCCTGATCAAACGGGTCTTCAATGGAGACCACTGGTGGGAGATGGGCAGAGTCAGGTTAAAGGTCTGAGGGCTTCCTGAAGGGGGTGACAGGTCAGAAGAATTCGTGTGGAGATTGCAATGGTGCTAAGGATTGAAGGGCTGAGTTGGTGGCAATGGAGGCTCTGAAGTCAGTGTGTTGGGCAGTGCCAGGTACGCAGGCAGATGCACTGGAACACTGGGGGGCTCACCAGGATAGTTCTTGATGAAGCTCTTGTACAGCTCCCCCAGCTTCTCTCCAGTGATGTGCCGGGCGGGGTCATCAGGTGACTTGAAGTCAAGATCGTACTTCCCATTGCGATAGAACTCAGATGCTGCCACATCCATACCAATCACCACCTTGTCTGGGTAGCCAGCGGCCTGGATGGCGGTCTTCAGCAGCTCCAGGGCTGAGAGAAGGACAAGAGAAGACCTGAGCTGCAGGGCACCCTGTCTCCACATGCCCCTCCTCTGTCAAGACCCAGGGGTTCTGCCCTTCAGAGTGCTCACACTGACCCTCATTGTTCTCCAGGATGTTGGGTGCAAAGCCGCCCTCATCACCCACATTGGTGGCGTCCTTCCCATACTTGGCCTTGATGACTCCCTTGAGGTGGTGGTAGACCTCGGCACCAATGCGCATGGCTTCCTTGAAGGAGCTGGCTCCCACAGGCAGAATCATAAACTCCTGCATGGCCAGCTTGTTTCCAGCATGGGAGCCCCCATTGATCACATTGAAGGCCTGAGAGGAGGAGGGGGTGTTCAGATCTGGGCCAGGGTATGAAGGATCAAGAAGAGCTGGGGAGGAGGGGTCAAAGTGGAATCTTGGCTTCCCTACTTACTAGCTGAGTGACCTAGGGTGAGTAATTTTACTCCTCAGAGCCTCTTTCCTCATTTCTCTCATGGGAATACCACCTGCTTCCCTGCAGGATCTTATGCTGAAAATTAGAGAAATTGAATGTAAAGCTCCTAGCATGTGCCTATACACAGCAGCAACTGATATAGCACTTAGCACAGGCCAGACACTGCTCTAGTGGCCCCTCACATATACTCGATTAGCTCATTTCATTCTCTAAACAACCCTATGAACTAGGTACTATTATTATCCCCCACTCTGCCAATGAGAAAACGGAGGCATAGAGAAGTTAAATAACTTGCCTAAGATCACACAGCTAACACAGGCAAAGCCCGGATTCGAACCCAGCAGCTTATCTCCACAGCTCATGTTCTTATACCATCTGCCTAGTAATAACAATAAAAAACTTCAGCTTTTTATTTTACCTCTTTTTTAAAAAAAATAGCTTTTATGGTATGAAGTTGTTCATAGTTCAGGCTTTGTCTATAACATTTTTATTGACATTAAATTCAAAGGGTTCCCATAAAGAGGAAATCTGAGCTTACAAAGATTAAAGAAGATACAAAGAAATGCCAAGATCCTTGCCATTAAGAAGCTCTCTATCTGTTTTGGGGGTTGGGGTAGAAAGCAAAATAAGAGGGGAGGATCCAAGATGGCTGCTCGGGTAGACATCTAGCCGCGGCAGCACACAACAATTTCAATGGAATACAACTAAAATGTAGAGTGGACATTGCCCAGAGCTACAGGTAGTCGACTGACTGAAATTTCTACAACAAGAAGGAAAGAGAAAACCAGAAAGAAAATCAGAGGAGCTGAAAAAAAGCCTAAGGTACGGAAACATGCTGCGCGCGCCTGCCCGCCCGCACGCGCGCACGGAGAGGTCGCAGCCGGAGAGGAGGAGAGGGCGGGGAGCCGCCTTTCCTTCCCTAGCAGGAAGGAAATAAAACCTCCAGCCTGGGCTGCCCCCCCGAACCGGCAGCGCTGAGCCCCCCCGAACCAGCAGCGCTGAGCCCCAGTTATGGGCCAGACCCTGGGGACCCAGGCTCCGGCGTGAGGAGACAGGGACGTGAGGCGGAAAAATGGCGAAAGGCAGGGCCCCGGGAGTCGCGCGCAATGCGCGCAGAGGACTGAATGTTGACTCTGATGCTGGGTAGCCCTAGCTGGAAGAAACAAGGCCTCCGGCGGCGCTGAGCCTCAGTCCGGACTGCTCCGAACCCCAGTTCTGGGCTAATCCCTGGGGACCCAGGCTCAGGCAGAGGGAGACGGGGCTGTGAGGTGGAGTCCGGGGAGAGCGGCGAAAGGCCGGGCCCCCGGGACTCGCGCAAACTGCGCGCAGAGGACAGTCTGTTGACTCTGATGCTGGACTTCCCTAGCGGGAAGGAGAAAAAAAAAGCTCTAGGCTGGGGGAACTCGGAGGGGAGCGGAAGCCCCTGCCGGACT